GCCTTCAAGCCGCACGACCTTTTCTTCGTGCGTCTCGGTGGCCTTCTGCTCAGCGCGCGCCTTGCGCTTGCGCTCATTCGATGCTCGCATGTTGCTTAAATGTCTAGCTAGCTAGCTAGCCACATGGCGTTTTATAGCAAGAGCGGCCGGTCAATGCACATCACCGAGCGACATGGCGCCGGCCTGTCAAAACGCATCAATGAATTGTTGCGAGCTGTCCAATCATTTTACGCAAGCAACAACATTTTAACCAATCCAAATTGGGACAAACAAACAAACAAACCAAACAAACAAACAAACAAACAAACAAACCAAACAAACAAACAAACAAACAAACCAAACAAACAAACAAACAAACCAAACAAACAAACAAACAAACAAACAAACAAACAAACAAATAATCCCTGGTGGGCTGGGTAACCAGGAGGTTCCTACCAGTATAATTGGAGTCGGTGGATGTGGACACAGAGTGCGATGTGCTTTGGTTGGTGACATCCCTCTCGCGACGCGACATCCTCGAATAAGTAGCTCAATCGCACGATTCGTTGGAGTTGCGATGGAAGAACACACGGTTGTGGTCGGGAAACTAAAAGTGGAAGAGAGCTCGGTGTATATTGGCAAAGAGAAGGTAACGGAGACTGGTGACTGAGCGTGGCTGTGCGTGTCTAGGCGAACAAGTCTGAGCCTTGACGTTGTGCGACCAAGCCTTGAGAAAGTGCGCAACCGAAGTGAGTTGGGCTGGCTAACCGATTGATGATTTCTGTTGTGTTATCCGGTGAGCTTTGGGCGTGCGAGTCGGCTCTCGCTGGTCTAGTTTGTTTGTGGTGAAAACGTCATCGCCAAGGGCTAATCCCTTGAGGCGACGCATGCAAAACCCCACACGCCGAGTGACAAACGGTGGGCAGCGATGAGCCATGATTGGCAGCGAAACCTACCAATAAACTCCCTTCTTGACTGTTGGCGGCAAGTCTGCCTTGGTAAGGCATGACTAGCAGCCGTCAGTTACGGCTGGGTAGGATACAAACGGTGCCAACAAAACACTCATCAAAACAATGCAAACTGCAGTTACGACATCCACTAGTACCAAGCGTCACAGTTGGGATTGGCGAGCGCGGCGCCGCGTTGAGCTGATTGTTGCGATGTCGCTCAGCCGAAGACGACGTTGTGGACCGCCACGTCATCTACGTTGCGTGTGGCTAGCTTTAGTCGTTTAGTTAGTCGAAACAAGATCTTTAGTAGTAGTAACGGACCGACCTTTGGGCCGGAAGAATGCAACCACTTTCCGATTTGCAAGCTTCCTCGCAAGACTGATGAGTTGTTAAACGTACACAATGCACTTGGCGACGCCTCTGCGTGGCGCAAGGCCGCTCTTTTCGATCAAAAGCTTGTGGTGGGCATTGGTTGCCGCATCGACCACGCGCGGGTCAAAAACAATCGCAAAATGGCGGTCGAGCAGCTGACCGACGGCCGCGACAAACGCTTCCACGTCTCCTTGCTGCCAGCGGCTTTGCAGTCGGATCTTCTGCAGACGTTTGGCCGCCGCATTGAGTGTCGGCAGCAGACCGAGAATGCTCGTCATGTCGAGTTTGTGGTCGGCGACATCGAGATGCGCAAGGCAAGCAAAGCGGGGAACGTGCTGCAGGAGATGAACCACGTCTGTCGTCGACATCGCGTCCCCGTCCTTGACCTGCTTGAAGTCGCCGGGGAACTTGAGCACCTCGAGGTAAGGGAGCTTTCGAAGCACCCCGACGAAATCGCGCATCACCTCGCCTTTAAAGCCGATGTCCTGGAGGACCAGCGCCGTGAGGTTGGACATGGTCTTGAGGGCATTCAGAACCTCGTAGCTGGTTGCTTTACAGTGGATCGCGAGCGACGAGAGGCCTTGGAGCACGCGCGGAATCTCGTCGTCGTCGTCGTCGAGCAATTTGACGAAATTCTTGCAGCTCAAGTGCGTCAGCTGCGGACCGTCTTCGAGCGCGCCTTGAAAGTCGTACCAGCTCTGGTACGCGTTATCAAAGTCACTCGGATCCCACTCGAGCGACGTCAAGTGCACGGGAAGCGGCCGCTGGTGCATGAACGAGTGCTCCAAGATATTCACGCAGTCGAGCGCGAGCGTCGTGCTCGAAGAAATCGCGTCGTAGAGCACGAGACAAAGAGGCGAGTCTGGCGCGTCGGCGAAGTGGACGGCATACATTTTCAAGGACACGACAGGTCTCGTCTGGAGCCAATGGACGAGGCGCTCGCAAAAACCGGTCGAGAGCTCGACATCACCATCGCCACTACTGTTCAGGAGTGCGAGCGACGTGAGGTGCTCAAGCTTAAAGAAGACACCTTTGAGTGTGCGAAGGGCCTCGCCCCAGGTCGAATCCTTGAGCTCGAGGCTCGCGAGGTGCGTGCACGAGGCAATCGTCGAGCGGAAGAAGCGCAATGTCGTTTTGCTGGTGCCATCCAAGTCGAACTTGAGCGAGGTAATGCTTGACGCGACGTCGGCGACGACCGCCAAGTCGTCGTGTGTTTCGATCGTGTAGCCAATCACAATGCTGCATGGTCCCAGCGTGGCGGCAGCGACAAGGTCTTCAATTGTCGCGCTATCGAGCTGAGGGCTAAGCACAGTGATCGTCGGCCACGCCACCGCCATGCTTGGTGCGACCAAGAGACGTGCGATGGACGCCAGCAGCGGGGTCTTGGCCCACGCCGGCAGCGCTGCCACGAACGCGGCAAAGGCGTCGGGCCCCGGCAGCAGGCGTGCGATCGTCTCGGTGATATCGGGCTGCAAGACACCGACGTGGGTCGCTCGGGCGCGCTGGGTTCGTGCTGCCATTCTTATCACGTCGACGAATCTGTACGGGAAAGGCCAGTGCTCGGCTCGCCTGACGCAAGTCACCTCTTAAAGTCAATGTATTCAGTATAGAGGTATGACGTGGCACGCCACCACACGAATGAATGTCAAGCTGATGAGCATGCAGTCGAAAGCAAGCTTACTCCCGAGGCACCTTCACACTCGTCGACTTGCGCGGCTCCTGCTTCACCCAGGCCATTGCTTCTGCTAGCTGTGGCCAATCTTGAAATGAAAGCGATCTTCGGGCGCTCCAGCGGGCAAGCTCCGGAAGTACAAAACGAAGCCAAATGGCTACACAATCTATTACTTAACACGCGATCGGGTCGTAAGCGTCTGGTTTAACTAGTCTCGCGCTGCTGTATCGGAAGATGTGTGTTGTGTTAGTTGGCCCACTCGTCGTCGTCCCAGCCCGACGCATCGGCCTAGCATGCGATGAGGATAAGAGGTGATGACGTTGATGCGATCGGCAAGTTGGCGTACGTGGTCGTCCATCTCCATCGCAAATAAGTTAGTCGCGGGTGCCGTCGTCGTCGGCTTGGGTGGCGAGCTGTGCGGCAACGCCGACTTGGGTGGCGACGAGGACGTCGGTGGCGTCTTGGTCGCCGTGGTCACTTGGGGCACCATACCAAACTCCTATTACCTCGCGTCAGACGGCGCCAACGTCGTTGTTTAAAGTACGCTAAAGACGTCGTGCTTCACAGCAAACGGGTTAATGGGCTGGGCGAGCGTCGGCGCGGGCGGCGGGATCACAGGAATCACAGGCACACTCGTGGTCGTCTCCATGACTGGCGCCGAGAGCGGCGTCATGGGCGGGCTTGGGTCCGGTCGGCCGCGCGAGAACGGGTTGTGCGCGTCCGGCGACAAACGGCGTCGGGGCGTCGATGGCGCCGCGTCATCCCACGACTCCTCGTCCCAGTCCATGTCATCGACGTCGTCATACGGGTCGTGCGGATTGGAGAGCCTACAATGCGCAGCATGAGATAGTGACGGAGTATATGAGGTTAACGTACTTGGCGTACGTGCCCGACGTGCCCGAGGCTGGCGCTGCCGGTCGATGGTGGCGGGGCGACGACGAGGTCGGTGCGCGGCGGCGGCGCAGAATCAAAAAGACGCAGAGCACGCCAAAGCCGAAAAAGCCAATCGTCGCGTACATCATCGTCGGCTTGATCGCGCGGTTCTTGTTGTTGCTCGGGCGCGCATCGCTGTTGACGACGACAGTGTTTTCATCGCCTTCGAGAACCCCCGCGGGCTCGGTCGTATCGCCTTGCTCGAGACCGTCGCCGCCGTCCACGGTCGCCTTACCAATGGGCGCCGCAGTCCGCAGCGCCGGACGACTCGTTGCCTTGGAGGACGCCGTCGTGGGCGCATTGGTTGCTGCAATTTGCGTCGTCGTAGGTGCGGGTGTTGTCGGCGCTTCTGTCGTAGGCGCGAGTGTCGTTGGAGCCTCGGTGGTAAGCGTGGTCTCCTTCGGAGTCGTAGGCGCGGGCGTCGTCATTGGCGCAGACGTTTTTGTTTCGAGAGCTGGCTTGCTCGAGCTGGACGTAGCTGACGGTGCGGTTGTTTTGGAGCTTGCCGTCCCGTTGGCCGTAACCTCGGCGCTGTCTTCGCTCCCCGTCGGAGCAAGAGTCGCAGGCTCCGTGTTCTTGATCGCTTTCGGATGCTGCAGTGCATCGTTCGAGGTGGACGGAATCGGCGTAGGGACCTCTGTGGACTCGGTTGTTGGAGCACTCGTGCTGATGCTGTCGACTCCCGCGGGGACCACGGGCTTTTGTCGCTCTGCATTACCAGGTAGCGTCGTTGGTTTGTCGGACGCCACGTCTACGACCTCTGGTTCCGGTGGCTCGTCGCCCATGCCATCCTTCTCCGCATGCACCTCGGTCGTGTTGGGGCTCGGCGAGGCGACGTCGTCGACGGCTGTGTGGTTGCTCGGCGGCACGACGTGCGTTCCGATCGGCTGCGCGGGCGGCGGCGTGATGTCCAAGATGCTGATGCTCGAGCCGTCGGTGGAGCCAAGGCCATGGACGCTGGTCGAAAGCGCGACCAAGGCCATCGCCAAGACCGCGAGGGCGCGACGCCGGGTCTCCATCCTTCGTGTCGTCGGCAACGAAAAAACGATATTCCTTCGTCTTGGTCCCAAAACACCACATTAATTTAAAAAATACATGATATTTGCATCCAACAGCTTTCCCGGTAAAAAAAATAGCATGCATTAATAAAACCACCAATGGCATCGCCGGATGGTCCTCCACCAGCCTCAAGCGAGGAAGCCCAGGACACGTGCCAGGCCGCGGTGCACTTCAACCTGGCAGACGCCGCCGCCGTAGCGCTCACCGTCGGCCGAGAGGACGTCGTGGTCAGGCGTCTCCAACTGGAACGCGCTACAGATTCACTGAGCCATCACATATCACGCGGCGTTACCGTACCGGGTCGTGACGACCTTGACACACGGCTTTTGGACGTGCTCGCCATTGTCAATGTTGAGCATGACGCTGGCATAGTCGCCCAAGGAAGCGCTTCCTTCCATGAGAACGACGTGCATGTGGCCATCGCAGAGGTCCGCCATGGGCGCGACGTGGGCGTCTTGGCCGGCGTGGGTCACGTTCATGGCCCAAAAGAGGCTAAAGACTCCTTCCGTGCTCGTCCAGTCACTCGGAAGCGGGTCGCCGATCGCTGGCAGGAGCGAAAGCCGGGGCGCGTCGCCCGGCGTAGCGTCCGTGTCCCAGTACATGGGCACGTCCTCGGGTGTGGCCGGCGCATACGAAAACTTGCCCGTCCAGCCCTTGTTGGTAAAGATCTTGGCGATCGCCGAGACGGCAAAGCGCTGGCCGCCGAGGTACCGGTACTTTTCAGAGTCAAAGTCCACTTCGGCCATGAACGCCCACGACAACGAGAGAAAAATGTATGTCGTACTCGCCTCATTGCCTACGCCCGATACAATAAGCGATCGCAGTTTTGACGGGGGCGTACGCAGCGACGCAATGTCGAGGGGCAGTGGGCGACCCTTGATGACCATGAACGCGCTCGTCTCCGGGTTGCAGCGCTCGCCGGCTGCGTGCGCCATGGTGCCCGCGAGACCGTTACCCGAGCCAGCAGGGATGATCCCGAACGGGAACTTGATGGCTTTGGCCCAGTCCTGTCGGCGCATAAAGCCTTGAATCACTGCATACCAGGATGAGCTCATCCAACTGCAGTCCGATTGCGCTACCTTCGTACGGTGCGCCGTCGCCACCGACGAGGACGACGCCGTCGTACGCAGCGAGATCGAGCTCGGCGGCAATCTCGATGGCCTGCTCGAAGCGCTCTGTGACCAACTTTTCCAAGTGGATGTTGGCGTGCATGAAGAGCGGTGCGACCTTTTCGTAAATCTTTTCGCCCTTGCCTACTCCATATCAGACAAGTACCAACCGTGAGATGAACGATACCAGAGCCACCGACGGGATTGACGAGAGCGAGAAAGCGCTACAGAGTAGATCATGAAGCGACTTGGTGCCAGCAGCAAGCGCCTACACGTTGCTTGGGCGCCGCCTGCACGATGACGTCAAGCGTTGCCAGCGGCTCGTCAGCATGGCGCGTCGGGCATGCAAAGTACCGGATCACGCAGAGCCACTTGTCAATGTCTTGCTGGCTACTGCCACTCGCAGTGAGCTCGACCTCGCGCAGCTTGCGCTTGCCATTCTTGTGCTTGGCAAAGACGTGAATGACGAGGCCGGTCGTCGTGTCGCGGGCAAAGGCCGAGGCCCCGAGCACGTCCGCCCATGCAAAGGCTTCGTCCATTTTGGGCTTCTTCGCCACCGCGATCGTGAGCGTGTCGCGCGCTGCCGAGACCGTCGCATCGTGGCGGGCAAAGACGAACGCCGTCGTCGAGATCATGCTTGAGTGTTGGCGATCGAAATGTCGAATGCGCGTTGATTGGCCAGGACACTGGATTACGACAATATGATTGGCTAAAAAGAAGAATTTCGTCGCGGATACAACGAGAGACGTGGCGCAAACGCTAGTAATTAGACCATTGGCTAGCTTTTGGCGCGCTCTCAGCTTGTACCTCGGCTGTAAGAGCACCGCGAGGCTCGCGTAGTTGGAGTCTCCATGCTCTGGTACCGGTATGTACAATTGTACGTCTTCTCACGACCGCCCCATTGTCAAATCGTGTCCTGGAATCGATTATCCGGATCCAGCTTGCTTGATGCGAGCGTGGCTGCAAAGAGCCCGGCACCGAAAAAGGCGTCGTGGCTCGTGGCCGCTTGCATCGCTCAACGTAAAGTACAACGACGCTACTCTAGTACTCTACGACATGGTGCACATGTATCGACGTCGTGGTCGACATGCGAGCGAGGCCATGGTGCCGATTCCGGATAAGCGAGGGCGATGTTGACGTACCAGGTGTTTTGGTGCAATCTGATTGGACGCTGAAAGGGCACTTCTTACTTGTGGAAGTTGAAGCATGCCCAAGGGCGGGCGCAAGCAAGCGTCGGTCTTCTCGCGCGATGAGATTGGCGTCGAGCAGCTCCACTCGCTCAAGGAAAAGTTTGCAGACGGTGACCTCTGCGAAGTCGAGTTCGTCCACCTCTTCCGCGAGACGATCGACTCGACGCTGAGCGAGACGCAGCTGACCGACCTGTCGGCGCTCATTCAACGACCGTCGTCTGATCGTTGCGTAGGTTCCAGAAGATCGATGCCAACAGCGATGGCACTGTGAGCTGGGACGAATTCACCAACGTAGGATTCTCGCTCCAGACCATGTTTTCGACTTTATATTCCCCTCGGGTAGTACATGTTTCTCAGTGGCAGCGACAGCACACAAGCTCAGCTGGGCGACGACATGAGTTGCCGATACGTCACGACGCAGCCCGAAAAGGTCGTCCACTGCAGATATATTCAAAAGGGTACAAGTATTTTCATAGACGGCCGAGACTGGCGACGCCGACACGTCGGCCGTTCGCCCCGTGAACAACCACCGCGATATCATTACGCGCATTGTGGGTCTGGACAAGCCGCATTTGTACGTGACGGCCAGTCGCGATGGCACCGTCCGTACGTGGAATGCCAACACGCTCGCGTACCAGGTAGCTTTGCCGGAATGAAATATTTGCGGCAAAAAAATAGAGCACGATTGCGACCGGCCGCAACTGGATCAGCGACTGCTGCCACATGAAGCGCTCGAACCGCCTTGTCGTCTCGAGCATGAATCGAACGCTGGCCTTCTACGACATGTCGACGGGGCAGCCGATTGGCGAGATTGCCGAGTACTCAAAGAAGCAGTGCATCCCGCTCTGCATGGAGTATGTCGAGAAGCCAAGTGACGAGCGCGAAGCCCTTGTCGTTGGCGACGATACCGGTGGCATCACCGTACGCTGCGTCGTAATCGCTCTCTGGTTCATTGAACGGCAGGTCATGGTGACGTCGAATCAATGGTCGTCCTGCGACGGTCGACCTGGCAGCCACGCGGTCGAGACACACGGCTTTAGCACTCGCACCAAATACAAAAAACACACGTACAATCGACAAATGATTGATAAATTCGTGGGAGCACCTTGTATGTAGCGACTGGATCACTCGTGTCAAGTGGGTCCACGACATGCGCGCGATCGTTGCGACGTCGCTCGACACCAACATTTCGGTACGCTGCAAGCAAGAATTCGTTGCTCAAACGCGCGTTAGATCATTGACATTGAGCGCATGGTGCCCAAGTTTGAGTTTACACGCCACAAAAAAGGCGTCTTTGACCTCGTTTGGTCGTCGAGCTCTCGCTTCATTGCCAGGTACACATCTCTCTATCTCAGTCTAATGTACGTACGAGACCAACCGAATCATTGCACGTAGCTGTGGTATGGAGCGAGACATTTCGATATGGAACCCGTACTCGTCGCAGCGAGCCTCCGCAACCCTCAAGGTTCGCTTTGCAGAGCTTAACTGGGTTATCAATGGTGTGGCGCAGGGGCACATGGCGTCGGTGTTGCACCTTGCGGTCGACGACGACAATTTTCAGATCATTTCGGTCTCGTCCGACAATGTCTTCAAAGTGTGGGACATTCGCAACCACCGGTGTCTCCAGAGCTTTGTAGACCGCAACAAGTTGTTCCGCTCTTCGACCTACACTCACAGAAAATGATATAGGTCCACGGGCGGCGCGGACAACCGTATTTCAGCGCTGCTTTTTGACCGCAAATCGCCGGGCTTGATCAGCGCGACGACCCACCTCGCGCGCTGGCCGCTGCGCTTCATGTCGTCCGAAGAAGCTGAAGCGAACCAGAAAAAGAACATGTGCATCGCGTGCTACAACGCCGTTTTCAACCAAGTGCTCACGGCCGAAATGAGCGACGACGGCGTCGTGCGCACGTGGAGTGTACACCAACGTATCCACTTCAATTCTTATTCCTTATCTAGGCCGAGACGGGCGAAGAGATCAGTACGTTTAGCAACGCGCACGGCGCGAGTCCAATCACGGCCATGACGTTCGATTGCGCGGGCCGGCGGCTCATCACTGGCAGCCACGACGGCGCACAAATCAACATGTGGAACTTTAGGTACGCTATCCGAATCAATGCGCAGTTGTGGAATACGATGGATCATCCTAGCAACGGCGCGCTCGTCAAGCAGTTTCTCAAACAAGAAAAGGCGGTGCTCGACTCGGAGGCCTTCCGTGAACCACTCGTGCGGCCGCCTCACATTCGCGACATTGCAATGCTACCCGACCGCTTTGACGCAGCGAGTGCGGCGAGCCCGCGCTTGCCGAGCCCCGTCAAGCGTCCGCTGCACCCACAGTTTGATGACGAGATGAGCGCCAACGCGCAATTGACGCCGCGCAAGGCGCATGGTCAGTACCAGCAGAGCGAAGTGACGTGTATCTTGGACATTGAGCGCAACGTGCGCGTCGGCATGGGTGAGTACATGTGCCAGCGCTTCGTGTGCTCTGTCGGGTGGGACCGCAAGATCTACGTCTGGCTCGACGACAACGACGAGGACGAGCCGCTTCCGATGTGGATCCTTCCGAGCGACGACGCCGACGACACCAAGCGACACACGGACGACATTCTCTGCGTCGTGTACATCCCGCCGGGCTTGCTCGCGACGGCAGGTCTCGACGGCAAGATTCTGCTTTGGAATCTCAACTCGGGCGACTTTGTGACGCAGTTGCATCAGAGCACGGGCAGCATCGAGGCGATGGTCTACTGCAACAAGCTCGAGCTCATCCTCGCGGGTGGCGAAGATGGACGACTCCTTTTCATCGACCGCGTTGCCGGCCAAAAGAACGACGTACAAAAGCGTGCTGTGACTCTTGCATATGACTCACTCCTACGCAGGTGGCCCTCAACCACCCGAATGGCGAGGCCATCGTCGTGATTGCGTGTGACCGGTGCGGCGACAACGTCATCACCGGTACGACACACGATGAATTATATATCCCCTCATGCGTCAATGTAGGCGATGCGGCCGGCTACATCAAGGTTCAACGCCATTCGTCGATTCCCTGTGGGCCAACAACATGTGTATTAGATCTGGAGTCTTAGTGTGGCGTGCGCCGAGAAGGGACTGCATTTTGACTACATGGGGCACTGGCGCGTGGCCGCGGGGCGTATTCTCAGCCTCGACTTTATCGAAGTATACGCCCGTCTATTGTGGGGCAATTGATGCACGGAATGTAGAACACGCGGCAGATTGACATGTTTATCCTCGTGGCCTGTGCGACGGCAGAAGTGAGTCTTTGGACGCTCGATGGTGTCCAGGTATCATCAACCCATATGCGGCATCAAGCATATAAAATGCTGTAGGTCGGAATCTTTGGGAAACACAAGCTGTGGCACCTCGGGCGACCGGCCACGTATGGCTCGTCGACACCGCAGATCATCCATGCAAAACACTCGCACACCAAGCAGTTCATTCCTAGCCGGTCGATCGCATCGGCGATGAGCGCACGGCAGCACGTCGAATCGCAGTTCTCGGACGACTCGATGCCCAAGCCCGGCGAAGTCTGGTTCTGCCGGACCAGCCACCACAAGGCCACGTCCTCAGCGGTAAAAGGCAGCGCGTCCGATGCACTCACGTCGGCGCGCAAGACGGCGGCAACGTCCGCCGATGCGACCGCTGACATTGCCGACCTCATTACGATCATCAAGGTGAGCAAGGGCGAGATCCTGGCATGGGACGGCATCTCGCAGCTCACGCCCAAGCAAACGACTTTGAAGCTCGAGGACTTTATTCGGAGCAACGCGTGGTCCAAGGACGCGATGCTCTCGCAGTGCGTCGGGCGCATCTTTATGTACAAATGCCCGTCGATGTACGAAATGGTTCTAAGCAACGAATGCAGGAGCTCCCACCAGCAGACGCCGTACAAGTGTCTCTATATCGCCATCAAGTCACCGGAAATGGCAAGGGCAAAATATGAATCTGCAATGGCTGACACTGTGTACTTCGTTAGCGCCATGGGCAAGAAGGCGCGTTCGCATTTGTCGACACCGAGGGCCTCAAGCACCGGACACAGTCGCTCGACACGTCCGTGGCGACCAGCTCCAAGCTTCGGACTTTGGCGCGTACCGTTATTTCGGCCTCGAACCGCCTCAACATGCGCAACCTCGGCGCGCTCCAGTACGTCGCTCGGCAGCTTTTGCCTCCCAAATTTACCTGGTGTAGGCGCGCTACGGTAAGCTTGCGCCAGGTTGAGCCAGAAATGGCACCAACGAAAGACGTGGCCGAAACCTCGAGCCGCGGCAGCGACCGTGCGCTGCTATCGAAAGAAGCCATCTTGTCGCGACCGACGTACGTGTGCTCGACGCTACCGGCGCTGCAGCCGCGCGAGAAGCATCCCATGGGCGGCGTCCTCCCCAAACGTTCGACCCTGCGCACCAAGCATGACCCAAGTGCAGACTTTCGACGCGTGCACGACCCGCACCCGATCCCAAAGACGGCCAAGGAGGTCATCGAGCGCAGCCGAACGCTGGCGCTCGTGCCGTCGCCACCGTCGACCAAGGCGCCACGTTTTCATCGCTCATAACGACGGCACCGTGTTGATAAGAATATGATGTCGGCGGCCAGTGGCCATTGCCTCACTCGTCCTACGACTGGTATGCAACAGTTGCTTGCTCGACTCGCGGCTCGTTTGGAAGGTTGGGCCCTTGGAAATGCGCAGTGCCGCGTCAAGGTTGAGATGCATGTTTGGGTCATCCGACGGTCGGATGTCACTCACTTGGTTGGGCAGCACCTTGGGCATACGACGCAAAGCACTTTTGCTGCGCGGCTGTACTTGGGGTAGCGCTTGCAGCGGCGGCGGGTGCAAGATGCGCGGCTTGAGTGTTGGGGCGTCGTCTGCCAAGAAAGATCGGCGCGTTCGGTGCTGCGAAACGTACGAGGCGACACGTTGCTTGACCGAAACAGCGGTCGCAAGTGCGCCGCTGGCAACAGCTTGGCTCCACACAGCGTCCATCGTCGCGGACGGGTCCACGAGTTGCCGAATGGCGTCGAGTTCGGCGACGAGCCGAGCGTCCGTGTCTGCTGTCGTGTCCTTTCTTCCTCGGCTTCGTCGCGGGTCGTCGGTTTGGGTCCCGGACGCGCTGTCAGTCGCCAGTGATGAGAGACACGCAGAAAGAGGAAGTAGAGGTCGTACCGTGTTGGCTTTGGCTTGGTCTCGTGTGTTGTCGGTCGTTTGAGTGCGGTCGTGAGGTATCGGATCTCATCGTCCTTCTCCGCAAGCTGGCGCATCGACGCGTGGACTTGTGCTAGACCTCAGCGTCAGCAAAGATCGACGCGCGACGTCGTACCGACGAGATCGTGCAGCTCCGGGACGTCCGCGGGCTTGGTCATTGCATCATCTGCCACGTGGCACTCGGGGGTGGGACCCTCGGGTGTGTTGGGTGCTTGGCCGTCAAGCGCGCCTTCGAGCGCCGCGATGCGCGCCAGGTACGTCTGCTCGAGTGTGTTGGCCGCAGCGAGCTTTTCACGCCAGCGCAGAAACGTCGTGCTGTCAATGTGCAAGCCGCGGTGCGTCTACCAAATGCACATCCTAAATGAGGACGATGATGGCGTCCTACCGTAAAGGTCGCAAACTTGGCTTCCATCGTTGCTAGCGTGCTGAAGAGCTGCTGGTGATGGCCCACGTTAGCTACTCTTTCGAGGGAGAAGCGCCGTACCGCGAGGATGGACGCGGCATCGGGCGCCATGGGCATCGCACACAGCGTCGCTTGCAGACGCTGCACATGGGCAAAGTGGTCGCGGACGTCAAGCGCCTGCAGCACCGGAAGGTTCATTTCGGGTGCAAAGACCGCCATGCCGCCCGCCTTTCGTGTATATTTATAGCACGTCGGTGTCGCATCCACGCGGCTTTGGCCTCCACCGGGATGTCCGTGGGCGTCCTCGTCGACAACTGGCAAAGACACGCCAGCACCCAAATCTCATCGCGGCTGGCGGTAGAATCCAGTACCGTATTGTACCACAGTCCGCCCGGCGTGGATTTATTCTTGGGTGCGCTTTGTTAGAGCATGTTCTAACACACATGTCGACCAATCTAACACGCGTCTTGCGGCAAAGTGGCGACAAAATGCGCGTAACCGCCGCCTCATTTGTGTTAGAAGTCGCCATTTTCGAGTTATAACACCATCGGCGTCATCGCGCAGCGCCTGCTGCGCTCGTTGCTGCGGAATCACGCCACGGACGACTTCGGATGCACGCAGGTGCGTGCCCAGCGTGTTGGTTGCTGCGAGATCTTATTGCCAACCACGGTTATTACCGACCACGGCGAACCGAGTAGCCACAACGGGCGCTTGCTTTCATACAGCAAAGGGACCGGCGGCGGTGCACAGAAAGCTCGGCGCCATCATCAACGTCACGGCGGCATCTTCGTCACGGCGGGTGGTTCTCGGCGCCTGAGGCTCGTGGCCAAGCGACTTGTCACGGGCTGCATGCGCTGCGACACGCGTGGCCGCCGTCGCGCACCCATGGTTCCTTCTTCCACTTTTATGCGTATCCGGATCACCGGTGTAATAAAATGGGCGATTTAATTCGCGGTACAATTCGTAGCATGTGGAAAAAAAGCACGTCGGCCGCGCCGGATACTGGGCGCAGCCACACTGGGCGAAGAGATTCATTTTTCCTTTTTCCCGGAGACCAACAACGACAACATGGCTGGCGCGATCAACCTGCACAAGCAAGGCGTGGAGCTCGAAGCCATCATGAGCAACAACGAGGGCCAGACGCGCCGCACCAAGATCTTCTGCACCATCGGGCCTGCCTGCTGGACGGTCGAGAAGCTCACGGCCATGATCGACGCGGGCATGAACGTTGCGCGCTTCAACTTCTCGCACGGCGACCACAAGGGCCACGGCGAAGTGCTCAACCGCCTCCGCACGGCCATCGCCTCGCGCCCGCACAAGCACGTGGCCATCATGCTCGACACGAAGGGCCCGGAGATCCGCACCGGCTTCCTCGCCACCGAGGACAAAAAGGTGCACATTGAGAAGGGCTCGATTGTCGAGTGGACGACCGACTACGAGTTCCTCGGCGACGAAACCAAGCTCGCGTGCTCGTACGAGGACTTGCCCACGTCGGTGCAGGTCGGCGGTACGATCCTCGTCGCCGACGGCTCGCTCGTGTTTGAAGTCACGGAGGTCCTCGAGACGGGCGTCAAGGCGCGCGCACTCAACTCGGCGACGCTTGGCGAGCGCAAGAACATGAACTTGCCGGGTGCCAAGGTCACGCTCCCGACCATGACGGAGCGCGACGAAGACGACATTGTCAACTGGGGCCTCGTCCAGGGTGTCGACTACATTGCCGCGTCGTTTGTGCGCACGGCCCAGGATATCGATAACATCCGCGCCGTCCTCGGCCCGCGTGGCCGCGCCATCAAGATCATTGCCAAGATCGAGAACCAGGAAGGCCTCCAGAACTTTGACGAGATCCTCGAGAAGACGGACGGTATCATGGTGGCCCGTGGTGATCTCGGTATGGAGATTGCGCCCGAGAAGGTCTTCCTCGCCCAGAAGATGATGATCCGCAAGGCCAACATTGCCGGCAAGCCCGTCGTCACGGCCACGCAGATGCTCGAGTCGATGATCACCAACCCGCGCCCGACGCGCGCCGAGTGCACGGACGTCGCCAACGCCGTCTTGGACGGCTCGGACGCCGTCATGCTTTCGGGTGAGACCGCCAACGGCGACTACCCGATCCAGGCCGTCGAGATGATGCACAAGACGTGCTTGCAGGCCGAAGGTGCGATCCACTACGACGAGCTCTACCAAGCGATCCGCAACTCGGTGCTCGAGACCAACGGCAAGATGTCGACGCAGGAAGCCATCGCGTCGTCGGCCGTCAAGACCGCCATCGACATGGGCGCCAAGATGATTGTCGTCCTCACCGAGACGGGCACGACCGCGCGCTTGATCGCCAAGTACCGCCCGGCCTGCCCGATCCTTGTGCTCACGGCGCTCGGCGAAACCGCTCGCCAGTGCGAAGGCTTCTTGAAGGGCTCGTACTGCCGCGTCATGGGCTCCATGATCGGCACGGACTCGATCCTGTACCGCGCCACGGACCTCGGCAAGCAGTTTGGCTGGATCCAGAAGGGCGACGCCGTCGTCGCCATCCACGGTATGATGGAAGCGCGCTCGGGCTCGACCAACATGCTCAAGGTCCTCGTCTGCGACTAAATTTGTGCGCGCCGATCCCTCGACTCTTTACCCAACTAATATAACTAGCTGCTACACCTCTTGCTTACTTGACTCGGTTTAGCGCCGCAGCGAGTCGGCAAACTCCTTGGACGGACCCGTGAGCTCGTTGCAGTACCTACAATAGCAGGCGTGTGTCCCACGGCTTCAACTCGCGCGATCGCAATACTTCTTCCAGAGACCGTCGAGCTCGACGCAGCGCGCTTGGATCGCCTTGTCGGCCGCCGACTGCGCCTTGGTCGGCGACGCACTTTGCGGCCGCTTGGGCGGCGGCGCGCGCTATCCAAGCATCAGTAGGCATCCTACGCCGCCACGTACGGAGCGGGACTTTGGCTTGCGCTTGTCGACGACGAGGCGCACGCGCTCCTCCAGCGTCTTTTGGTTCATGCCCGGCGCTTGGAGAAGCTCCACAACGTTCTCCTAAGCGAGCGTCATGACCATTTTGCGATTTGGGATCGAGTACTTTGCCGAGGGCGAGGACCACGAGCCGCAGCGCGCGCCGCTCCGTGTGCTTGGCCTCTCGGAGCGCGTCCTCGAGCTCAGCAATGCGTCTAGTCCAGGATGACGACGCTGGTGGAGGAGTTTGCTGTCACTTTTTATCTTCAAATGCGCTCTGCTGGTTGGAGCCCATCTAGCATCAGTATACTTCTCTGGGCTCTCTCGGAGTGGAGGTACCTGCCGCAAGCGCGCGTTCTCCATCTCCAAGTAGCGCGTCTTCTCGTCGTAGTACCTCGCTACTCCCGTGACGACTGCTCAACAGGATCATTTATCGGATCTACCTTGCTCGAGGGCACTGCGGCCATTATGATCCTATGGAATGATGAGCATCATACGGCGAAGATGCGTACCGTGGCGCTGGGGTGCTGAGCGACTTGCTTCTGGAGCTGAGCGTTCTACAAGCGATTGCGTCGACAGAAGATGTTAAACTAGTGAGAACCTCGTCTTGGCACAGCTGGAGCTCGACCTTGAGCTGGTTGATGAGCAAGAGGAGCTCCGAGTCCTTCTCGAACTGCTTCATGTCGAGGTTGGGCACGACAAACGACGGCTTCCGCGTCAGAATGGGCGATTTCTGCGTATCGGAGAGCAGCGAATTGCTCGACATGACCTTGGCAATGGACGCGTGGCGGGGCGTGATCGTCGGTGCGTCGAGGACCGACGACCGCCGCCGCCCGAGCGGTTGCTCTTCTTGAATGACTTCGGGCAGGCGCTGCTGCCGCACGGGCACATACTCCTTCAAGAGTGGCGACGAACCGGGCTACGTTAACATGACGCGTCAACAAGCAAGCGAGAAGGCTTCTACCTCGGCGTCTGGCGGCGGCGGCTCGAGCGGCGGCGGCGGTGGCGCCTTGAAGAGCTTGGAAAAGTTCATTGGGAAAGGCCAAGTGCGTTTCAGGAATCGTCGCCTCAATTAGGTCGTTGGAGCGGAAACCGATCCGTGGCTCATGCGAGGTTGCATGCCGTATACCATGCGACGCTACGTCAAAAGAGAGATGCGGGCCGTGCGTAGGCAGTCTACTCGAGCGGTTCGTCGTCGACCTATATCTTGCTATTGTACATCGTAGTACATGATTTGAGCCAGAAGAAGCGCCAACTGTACGCAATACCAAGTCCACCAGCCCCGCTTAGAGCATAGCATTGAACTAGCTACCCAGATACTGCCGTGGCTGGCGCCAGGGCGTGAGGTAGACATGATTGCGAGCTGCCGCTTTCTTGCATGCATCGCGCCGAGCCAACAGGAGCTAGCGTCATCACATCCTAGTTACCAAGCTGGCCGTGCGTGGCTTCATCCTCGACATACCGTAGCCCAATGTCCAGCGATGAAGCTAGAGCTACAAGCTACATGCACTGCGGGGTCGTCGTCTTGCCGCAGAGAGATGCACGAGGCCATGAACAGCGGCTTCCTTGCGACGACGACGGCAGCAAGAAATGCGAATTCGGACTTAATTGGGTGTGTCGGAAGCACGCTGGTCAATGGTATTTTACGATTTGTTTTTTGTATGGCTATTTAAAATAATGCACGGCCGGGGCCGCAAATTCCACGTTTTTGCCCTCGAGCCCACCGCAGACGAGATGGCGTCGGGACTCGCAGCCTTGCGCGAGGTGACTGGAGACAGCGTCTCGGATGAGAAGCTCAACGCGCTCCTCAAGGAGGCTGGCGGAGACGTCAACGTGGCCGTCCAGCTCTACCTCGACCAGAGCGCAGACCAGGCCGACGAGACCATGGGCGTGGACGAGACTATGGGCGTGGACGAGCCCAGCCACGACACGAGCGGTGACTCAGACGACGATATGGGCGTCGCCGCGCCGACGTCTACGGCCGACGTACCACCGCCAGCGCCGATCGCAGCTTCCATTGCTGCCTTGAAGGACCTGCTCGATGGAGCGGCGACTGAGGCCGAGATGGCGACGCTACTGGCCGAGGCCAAGGGCGATGTCGAGACCGCGGTGAACCTCTTCTTCAACAAGGCGCCAGCCCCAGCAGTCGAGGAGAGTCCACCGATTCATCTCGTAAACGGCGAGTACGAGGTTGAAATCACGGACGGCAAGATGCAGTGGACGATCGGGAACGTCCTGGGGCGGGTCGTCGTGCAGGACGTCGTCCCTGGCGGGTCGGCGCACCGCGCTCACATCCAAAAGTCGGACGTGCTCATCGAGTGCTCCGAGCACCCGATCAAGGAGGCCAACTGTCATGGCATCATCACTCGGCTCTCGAAAGAGGTGTGTCTTGCAGTCCCGCGTTCAACCTTGCGAGCATCCCATGTATTAGGTCGTGGCGGTGCCCGTTCGCCTTCGCTTTCGCCGGTCCGAGCACGGCGAAGAGACGCAGAAGCGAACGCCGACCAAGATCGTGCCCGGTAGCTCGCTCTTCCCCAAGGCCACGACGCCCGAGAAGCCGGCCGTGGCCGTCACGTACGGGCTCCAAGTCCTCGAGTCGGCGCTCGCTTCGATGCGCGAGATGATCCCGAACGCCGACGAGCGCAGCGACCGCCTCTTGCTCTACTTTCTCTGGAGCGACGGCAACGTGGCGCTCGCGATCGACCGCTACTTCCAGCCGCAGTCGGCGCTGCCCGACTTTGACGGCGTCCTCGGCCACGACCTCTTTCCCGTCGACGGCGCGCTCCCGCCCTTGACCTGGCCCATGTACGACGCCACATTTCCCACGGGACCCATGGGCATCACGGTCGAAAACATTCACGAGGTACAAACCCATTCTATCCACTGGATCGGAAAAACACTGTATATTACAGCGTACGGTGGTCGTCAACGTCAAGGAGAACACGTCGGCTGCGCGCGCCAACGTGCACATGGACAGCTGGCTCGTCGCGATCAACGGCGACTGCGTCACGCAGCTGACGCACAAGGAGACGTTGCAGCTGATCCAGACGCTGCCCCGCCCGCTCGTTCTGAGGTACTCATACAAATCCTGACGAACGGTGCGTCATCGCGCGTAGCTTTTGCTGCCCGCCGGGTACATGGCTCCCAGAACTTAAGAAGCAACTCGCGCGGAACGTTCGCGTGCCGCAGACGCACACAGTTGCGGGCCGCGCCGAGCGCATCGAGCGCCACGAGATTTTCGTGCCCGAGGAAGATCGCGTGAGCTTCAAGCGGTTCGAACGCAAGCTACTCCAGGTTGGTTTGCTGCCGGAACACGCCTTTGATGTCCCACACTCCACTATGGTTGTCTAGGTGCTCCAGTACTTTCCGAACGCGGCCTGCGTCATGCTCCACAAAGAACTGAGCAAGCAAGGGACGGCGACGTCCGACGACGTTGACATCAAGGCCGTCGACGACGCTGGCCACGAGCTATTGGCCGAGTGGGCCTCGGGCACATCGCCTCTCGTTGGTGCGGCGTGCCCTGCGAGAGCGTTCCTCCTCAACGGTTTTGCCTCGCTCGAGAGCCATCCGGACAAGGGCGAGTTTGTCGTGCTCCAGACGCTGTCGTGCATGCGCCACCTCGCGCTTCTCTGCGGTGACACGGCGGCCGAGAGCGAGTCGCCGGTCGGCCACGCCAAGTGGCTGCTGCTGCAGATTGCGCTCAACGTCTTTGAAGCCGCGGCTGTGATCGAGAAGAGCACGACCTGGGGTAGCCGCCATGCTCGTGCGAATGCCAGACGATTCCTCTTGTAGATGTCGTGGTCGAGTCGCTTGTGGCGATCGCCAAAGCCCTGCCCGACCATGTGTTTGTCCGCACGATTCCGGCGCTTGTCGCGCGTCTGAGCTTGTACTCGAGCCCCAGCTCGCGCATTGTGACGCTGGCGCTGCTCCCGATCGTATATGAGCGCGTCACTGGCGACCTCACGGTCCAGCTGCGCGGCATGTTTGACCGGCTTCTCCAGGACGAGGCGCCGCTGGTCCGCCGCGCCGGTGCCCACATCCTTCCGGAGCTCGCACTGCACCTTGGCCCGCGCACGATGCCGTGGACGCTGCAGATGCTTGAAAAGACCGTCGGGGATCCGTCCGACCTTGTCCGGCTGTACGGCGTCAAGGCCATTGCGGGTATTGGCGCGGCGCTGCCCCACATCATGGGCGAGGAAGCGTCGCTCCACATGACGCGGCTCCAGCTCGTCCCGCTCATCAACGCTCTCGTCTCGGACAGTGATTGGCAAGTGCGTCTCCAGATCGTGACTTCGATGCCCGACCTTGTGAGTGCGATGGGCCCGGCGCTCGCCGAGGTCATGCTCGACCACTTTCTCGGTCTTGTCAAAGACGTCAACATGGAGGTGCGCGTCAATTGCGCCAAGGTCGGCTTCGCCGTCGCGTTGGCGCTCGTCGTTCTTGCCGACGCCGACATCGACGCCGCCTTTCTCAAGGTCACGGCGTCGATCCTACCAGCCCTCTTTACGCTTGCCAAAGACCCGTGCGTCTCGGTGCGCCGCGCGGTCGCGACCTCTGTCGGCGACGGCGTCGATCTCCTCGGCAAGGCCCGCGGCGAAGCGCTCGTGTCGCTGATTTCGCAGCTCATGAACGACAAGGATCTGCTCGTGCGACAAAGTGTCGTGGAGGCCCTTGCGTCGCACTGCGAGAGCCTCTCGGACGACGTGACGAGTATCCTCGTCTCGAGCCTCGAGACGTTGGCAAAGGGCGCTGTGTGGCGCACGCGGCTCTTGGCCGTCGAGAGCATCGACGCGTGGGCGCGCAGCGGGTCGCCGTCGCAAGCCATGTTGCAGTACATTCCCGGCATCTGCCTCTCGCTCCTGACGGACCCGGTCTGCGACGTGCGCTTGGCTGCAGCCTCGGCGTTGAGCAGCGTCGCCAAGCTCTGCGGGCCCGATTGGGTCGCGACCTCGGCGCTTGTGACGCTGCGGCAACTCCTCGAGGCAGGCACGACCCAACAGCAGCTCACGGGTCTGTTCACGCTCTCGCTGCTGCTGCGTGAGAAGCTCCTCTCGCGCGTCCAGGTGGATGCGTGCATTGGGCGCGTCCTCGAGATGGCCCGCGTTTCGACGACGCTGAACGTTCGCGGCAAGGCGTGGCAAGTGCTGCTCCTCGTCGTGGGCTCGCATGCCGAGGCGCTCCGAACAGCCGTCGTGGACGCGATCCTTCTCGAGAAGGACGTGGACGTGCGCAAGGACATCCTTGCGGTCTCGGCCGCCCTCGACACTGCGTAGATCGTTGGAGTATTTTAATTGCACCGTCTTCTTTCGTTGTCTGCCCTTGTGGCCGCGCCAGTTGGCTGGGATTCGATCCCCACCTCCAGTTCAACAACCACCGTCTTGCCTCAAGCTGGAGACTTGAGGCTTGGACTGCCGTCACTCGCTTCTAACCATGCAGGCGCGGCCCGTCATTGCCAACCCGTCGCTCGCCGGCTGCGGCGCCTGCTCGAGTCGAAGGCAGTGATCGATTCCAGCTCCCGCAATGGTTTGACATTCGCGTGGGGCCGAGTACGCTTCCGACGCTGTTGCCGCTGGTCCACGAACAACCGCTTCGGCCCAACTCGCTTCTCTCGGGTGATACTTGCCAATAATGCACTTGGTAAATGTAGATTATCGATTCGTGAGCTACGGCATCAATCTTCGCCAATGCGTCGTATGGCCTTCCGGGACCAATGCATCTTGCGGCGGTATGCTGGGGGGCTGAGTACAGCGTCGTCGTCGGACGATGAGGTGAGGTCGATGACGTCAGCTGGCGCTGTCACCGTTTGCGTCGGGACGACGGCGGTCTTCTTCCGCTTGCGCGTCACTATGGTTGGCTCTGCTGGCTGCGCGGGCGGCGACGGCGCTTCACCATTGGCATCGTTCCAGGCTGCCCACAACGGGTACTTGACCTGGAAGTGGCGCACGACTCCCTGTAGCACCTTCAATCTAGAGAAACATTGGTGACGCGGACGCCAATGGAGAATTTCAGTACTGCGCCGCCCAAAGCGCTGCCTGGCCGCGGGTGGGCGACTTGGCCGACGTGTCGCGACGAACTCTGCCCGTGTCCGCAAAGACGTTGGCGCGGAGCACTTCCTGGATGCTGGTGGGCTTCTTCTTCTTGGCCTGAGCAGCCATGACCTTGACGATGTGCCGCGCGATGCGGTTGACGTCGCGCTGCTGATTGCGGTGGTATTGTGCGTCACGTTTCCTAGGCACAACAACATGTGAAACCACAGTTGCCACAGTTTTCGCACCGATCCTTGCTCTCCTTGTCGCTCAACTTCGTAAATTTTGTGAGGGCTGCCACATCTTGGTCGTACGTGGCAGAGGACACGATGGCGTCATAAACGCGTCCTTCGGCGCGTGTACCCGTGGGCCGAACCTCCATCTCGAGGTGCGCGAGAACGGACTTGATGGTCTCGGCCGTCGGGGCGCCGGGTAGATAGCAGCACAAGAGGAACCCCGGGTTGTCGAAAACTTCCGTCGCATCTGGGAACAAGGCGTTCATGAGGAGGGGCTTGACCGCTGCCGCATCTTCGTCGGCATCGGCCAACGCATTATCGCGGGCGATGGACTCGATGTCGTCTAAAATCGCGAGCGCTTCGTTCTCTCGAACGGTGCACGTGCCGAGTCTTTCGCGCAATGACAAGTCGCTCACTTGCGTTGCCTGAAACAATGGTAAGGGTGTTGCACCAATGCAGGGGTCACATTACCGTTGGCTCTGGCGGCTCGACCTCGTCGTCACTGCGCATCTTGTGATATGCACCCATGGCTTGCACGCACAGGAATCGTCTGGACTTGGTTACGACTCTGATGCGATGCAAGGTGCGGTTGATGACGGCGCTCGCTGCAGACTGCAGCTTGTCGCACTGCGCTGTGATTGGCTGCTATTTAAACAAAGATACTTCGGCATGGTCGTCGACTTCGTAGCGTAACGCTGCCGCGATGCCCGTCGACGTGGCGCATGCGACCGAGGCGATGGCAGCTGCAGCTCGAGTAGGATGGGACTCTGTTCAGCGCCAAGATCCCAGTCGTCTGGTCCGGCCCTCAGGTCCGAGCCTTGGCGCTTCCTGGGGCTCCATGATGATCTTGCCGTCGGTCGTATCCACGAAAGGATGAATCACCCGTTACAACAGGCGATATCACTTATTGTGGGTTGGCCAAAATTGGGTTTCGCAGATGTTGCGGTCATTATTGTTTTATTGTTTGCGAAACGATTTCGAGCCATGTTGACGCTTAGATTATATACTATTATACAACCGTCGGCGTCGGGTTTTGCTTGGCATAGTCGGTGACGGGATGTTGATGTTCGGGCTCGGGCATGGCGAAAAACTCTGGCTTTGTGCGAACAACATGGGGCGAGTAAAAATACTTCGCGCAGCGCATGCAAAAAAAGAGGGAGAAGAATGCAGCCAGCAGAAGCAATGGCCCGGATGAAGCAGGAACCACGCAAGTCGACGAGTGTGAAGGTGCCTCGGGAGCCGGCCGCCGACCGCACTAAGCGTTCTACCGCGATGCGCCAGTACGCCGAGTTCATCGAGAGCGCGGGTCTGTCCATTCCCCGGTCGGAGTTCTTGCGCCTCATGCGCGACGTCGTAAACGACTACAAGCCGGGCGTGCGCTTCCACGGAACAGCGGTGGGCCTGATCCAGGTAGCCTGCGAATCCCACATTGTCGAACTCTTTCGGGACGCAAACGCGTATGCCACCCGCGACGACCGCGAAACCGTCAAGGTCAAGGACATGCAGCTCGCGCTCGCAGCGAGAAAGAGCATCTCCAACGCGGCGCCGCAATAGCTAATCTATAACTGTCACGCTTGTTATTGCATGTCGCATGGTGTTATAGCGGTGACAACGTGGTCCAACGCACCGCTATAGTTATGGCTATCGCTAAAAATCGAGGTCTGCCGCTATAGGAGGCCTCTATAGCGGTGAAGTTATGCTGCCGCTAGAGCGTAGACGAGGCAGAAAAGGTAACAGCCAATCGAAACGTCCCGTGGCAGTTGCCCGCGACGACGAAGCATGGGTCATGGGCGCGCGCTGGGCAGAGGAGGTCCGAGGCTCCTCTCTCCCGCACCGCCTGGCTTCTCCACCCGACGCAGGTTGGCGCTTGTACGATCGTATCGTGCTTGCGCGGCCGCTCCAGCAGCACTGCACGTCAGACGACAAGAAAGCCTACGCGACGTTCTGCCACGCGAACGACGTGGTCGACTGCGGGCTTTAGCTAGACATTCTCGATGAGATGAACATCGAGCCGGGCTTCAAACGTCGCCGCCGCAACGTGCCAGAGCAACGATAGCAGCACCGTGTTGGTGCCGGCCTTGGGCGTTGAAAGGGTAACTCCATTCTAGTTTTCGGATATGACCGTTTCTTTCAAGTTGAAGTGGCGCCGGTTGGGATCATGCGCAAGGCCACGACCAAGCTCGCGCCGATCTCGCACCAGCAGTTTGCGTCCCAGTCCACCAAGGAGCTTGCCGTTTTGCGTGCGATCGTTGTGCGCGAAGCGTGTCTTGACTACACCCTCGAGCTCGCAACGGGCTTTGTGCCGCCGACGCCGCCAACCGACCTCCTCCAAGCGCTTCTGCAGCTGCGCCTGGCGTCCATCGACGTCGTCGAAGCCATTGCGCTTTGGCGCCGCATCCTCGTGCGTCCATATGCCTCCATCGATCTATTGCTCTACCGATATACGTCATAGGTGCGTCCGATGCCGTTCGTGTGGCGCGGGACCAACTACTTGCTGCGCATGGTCCATGACACGGACTTTGTCGCCAAGAGCTCCCAGGTCGCAGCCGCGCTCGGCGTGGCCCTCCGGCGCAGAAACCCGTTTTGCACAGTGCCGGGCCTCGACATGAAGCAGCGCGTCCGGGATGCTTCCACAGCGTCCGACCTCGTGCTTGTGATCGATCCGACGGAAACCAACATCGCGCTGCGCCTCCACCGCGCCGAGCTGCTTATTTTGCTCGAGTCCGAAGGTCAAGTGACGGACGAGCGGTCCAAGGACGAGCGCGGGGGCCAACTCGCCCAAAAAGAAGCCGAAGAAGTGAGTCGCCGACGGTTTGGAGGGTTACAGCACGAGGTACCGTAGGTTGGCGACGTAGACGATGCCGTCCATTTGCATCTAGTGATACATGCCCAATCAAACCCCACTACAAGAATGCATACGTTGGTGACTGCGTCGAGGATCAGTTGGATCTTGAGCTGCGGACACGCGACCGCGAGCTCTTCGAGCGTCAGGCCAGCGGGCGCGGCTTCGAGCTGCTCGTAGATCAGCGTACCTAGATATATCGTGCGATGAGAGCCTCGTGCGAGCAAAAGATCGACGCACCAATTTCCTCGGCGCCGAGCTCGGCAACCGGCACAATGCCCATCTCCAAGACGACGACGCCACCAGCCTTCTCTTCGTACTCGCTGATGTAGCTGCGAAAGTGGCTGGCAGCTATGGACATAGTAGTATAGACGCCAGCGGCGGCGAGACGTACCCGTCGCAGGTGCCACGCCTTCTGGAAGGAGGAGCGCCGGATCTTCCGCAGCGAGAGCGTGGGCAACGCTGGGGTACGTTCGCTTGGCCCGGACCTTGGAAACGAAGGCTCCGTTCAAGACAACGGTGTCGCTTGCCTTGATGATCGCGTACGGTGGCTTGTTGGCTCTACCAAGCAGGTGGCATCTCAAACTACAATATGCAAGGCGCACCGTAGCTCGAGCTGACGCAAACCCCTCGCGAAGCGGTCGCACTCGGCCTCGCGCACGGTTAGAAAGTACTCGGCGGGAGGCGCCGCCGCCGTCAATGAATCGCTGAGTCCCTCGGTGGTGAACTTGCGCTTGATGGTCGCCTTGACGACGGCCGGGAGTGGCGTGACGCCGTCCATCGCGTCGGTTGGCGCCGGCAAGTCCGAAAAATAGCATTGCTTGTACCTAATGCGAGCTCGATGAGGTTTGCGGTGCTCGCGCAAGGACGTGCAGCTGAATGATTTCGAGGAACCGCAAGGTCTCCATGTTGCGGTCCTGCACTGGGTAAATGCTACATGGCGCACGATGAGATGGCACGCGAAGGATGCGCCGTCGTACTGGTTGCCAATGACGTATTGACACTTGAGTCGCGGGTGCAAAGGCTGGAGCTCGCCGAGGCAATCGATCTACAAGTGGCTGCGTGGTGCCATCGCCACATCATGGCGTGGCACGTACGAGGTCGCCGAGGCGGATCGTCATGGCGACAGTCGACTGAACGAGGATCGTGCCCGAGCCATCGTCTACGAGCACAAGCATGGCGCATGCGCAAAGCGAGGTGACAATGGCCATCGTACCGATCTCGACCATGTGCTGCGCGACGCCGATGACGACGCCCATGATGCGGACGCGATTGAAGCGCTGTGGCGGCCGACCGATCACAAACTTCTTGCTTCCATCGTCCCATCGGCACCGGTCGGCGTTCTTGACGTCGCTGAGGAAGAGCTTGAGGTAGTGGGCCATGCTGCGCTTGCCTGCCTCGGATTAACTCTATTTCACACAAAAGGCCAACACACGTGTATACTGTACACGATACTATTCATGTCGTACACTATTTTGCGTCGCAACGGTTCTTGGAAGATCTTCCAAGATACCGAGTTGCTCGACAGCATGATGAACCCGATGGACCTGCTCGACATGGAGCGCCGCAGCGGCGTCTCCAACCAGGACCTCGACGACTTTGTGCGCAAGGCCGACGCGGTGCGTGACGGCCAAGCTGCGTGCCACCTGCGAATCCTGCTGCGTAGGTGGCCCGCGCCGTCGACCAGATCAAGAATGGCACGTTCGATCCCGACGAGTGCGACGTACGCATTTCGCGTGGATGGCACCACGTTGCTCATGACGCATTAGGTGCCAGGCTACCTCACGCCTGAGCAAGAGGCTGCGGAAGAGCGCGCTCGCCAAAAGCGCGAAGCCGAGCGCAAGCAGCGCGAGGTGCGTCAAGAAGAGCCATCATCGACAGCCTCTGTATGTGGGCAATGCAGGAGGAGCGCAAGCGCAAGGAGAAAGCCGACGAGCACGAGAACTGGTGGACGCGCGCCAAGCTCCGCTTTTCCATCGAGCGCGCCGAGGACGACGACGGGGAAGCGTCCAGCGCCAAGGCCGATGCGTGGGCGAATCGCGTTGTCCAAGCGTACAAGGCGCGCGACGGTACGCCAAACAAAGTCTATACCTTGCCCATGAGAGCTCTACTAGCCAACGACTACTCGGTCTGGGACGCATGGGAGCCCAAGGACCCCGTGACATTGGAAGAGAAGGCGCGCCAGGCGGCGCTGGACGAGAAGATGAAGAACGACGCGTTCGAGCGCGCGAACCCAGAGTTCTGCACGCAGTTCCAAGAAGACATTGCCAAGCGTCGAAAGTCGACGCGCGAAAAGGCCAAGCTCGCCGAGAGTACACGCCCGACTCTCATTTTCTCGTCTTGTTGAATCTGGTGTTAGAGCTCAAGACGCGCGGGAACGCGCACTACAAGCGCAAGCAATACGTCGACGCCATCAAGCAGTACGTGGCGGCGCTCGCCGAAGCGCCCCACGACGCGGCCGTCTTGACCAACATCGCGCAGTCTTATCTGCGGCTCGAGTGCCTTGACGATGCGCTCGAGTTTTGTACGCGCGCGCTGTACGTAGCTCCCGCGCACATGAAGGCGCTCTCGCGCAAAGCCGCCGTGCTCCACCGTTTGCAGGACCTACAAGGCGCCGCCGCCGTCATGAAGGAAGCGACGCGGCTCTATCCGGACAACAAGGACCTCCTCGAGCAGCACTCTGCGATTGTCGGCGAGTACGACGACGTGTGCGCGCGGTCGGCGCTCGACGCGTCCATGGTGGCGGTCCCGACTCTTGACACGCTGCATTTGCACGCTGCGAAGAAGCTCCTTGCAAAGCTCGACGACGCGGCCATGGTGGCCCTCTCGCCCGTGCTCCACGTCGATGCACAGGTGCGTCTGCTCTTTCGAACGTCGGGTGCCCTGGCGTCCGTGGCGGCGGCAGCGGAAACCAACGCGACGGCCCTCGACTGCCTCGTCGCCGCGACGGCCACCGACGACCGCAACAAGCGCGCCTTGTATCATGACGTCGCGTTTCGCGCCTGGTTCACAGCTGCCTTGGCGTCGTCGAACACGCCAGCCTTGTGGCAGCTCTTGGAGGCGCTTCTCGCCGTGCCGTTGTGGAAGACGTTGGTCGTGCAAACACCAAGCCTCCTTGCACAGCTGCTGCGCCTCTTGGCGCCGCGTAGCGTCGTGACGGCGACGGCAGCGCGCCTGCTCATCACGGTCTCGGACGTCCACGCGTGCCGGGTGACGCTGACGACGTCGCTGGTCCAACCCGTCCTTCGTCAGAGTCTGGCCTTTCTGGGCGCACCGGCGTCCGAGGCGCTCAGCGACGTGCTTGGCCTGCTGCTCAACCTCTCGAACGAAAGTATCTTTCGGGCGATCGTCGAGACCGAGCCAGATTTGCACCTCGAGGTATCTTCCAGAGAAGGCTTGACGCACGGTGTCATATGCGCCCATGCAACGGTAGATGACACAGAGCTTGGTCGACACGCTGGCCGCGTCAGCGTCCGAGCGCGCGGCGGCGGTGCTGCTCAACCTCGCCATCAATCCGACATCGGCCATCCGCACTGACCTGCACACGGCTGGCGCGCCTCGCGTCCTCTTTATGCTTCTGGACCGCGACGGTAAGCGACTCAAGTCCGCTTGACAGATGTCAACTCATTTCTAGGCGAGCGCATGCTCCAGTCGCACTGCGTGAGCCTCCTCTGCCGCCTCCACTCACTGCCGGCGCTGCGCGAGGAACTGGCGCGGCCGAGCGACCTTGCACTGCTCTGGCGCGTCCTCGAAACGTCCACGGCTTCGGCGATGCCGGATGCCATGACGTGGCACGTGCGGGCGCAAGTGCTGTGCCACTTTGCGTGGGCCATGGACCTGCCGTCGACACGGGCTTTTTGTCGCCGCGCCCACTGCCTCACGGCGCTCTTCCGCAGCGGCCTCCTCTCGCACACGCCGCCGTTCCCGCCGGCGTTTGAGCGCTGCTTGGCGAACGCGACCAAGTGTGCAATTGCGCTCGTGCGCGACGGCCAGCGCAGTGACGTCGACGCGATCGTGCAGAACGGTGGGCTCGAGGCGCTCGTCGAGTGCATGCGCAGCGCCAAAGACGACAAGGTCGCGCGCAAGAACGTTGCGATCCTCCTCGCATCGCTCTGCGGCCAGGACGAGGCCATCAAGGCGCGCGTCCGCGAGCTCCGCGGCATTGAAATGATGCTCACCATTTGCCGCTCGATGAAGTTGTAGGCAACGGCAACCACTTCTGTATATACAACTAGATCAATACGCGCCTGCATGTGCCATGTTACCATGATCGTGAATGGCGGATGGCGCTAGAGACACGGCGCGCTTCGCCTCGTCGTAAGATACATCGCAATGCAAGGCTTCCTTGGACATCATCGTCGATCCTGGGACGTATCGACCTGCCCGTGGCGGGATGCTGCACGCATGCATCACGCCGCCATGATACCTCCATGGCATGGGTCCGGTCGACCATGGATGCCACGCTGGCCATGGAGCCAGCCAGCCAGGCCCATGCACCATGTTGCCGCGCCGCTCATATTATGCGGCGTCGACGCGGCGATGCAAAGCCATGCAATCCGGATACGACGGTTGCCTCGCATCCGGATGGTGCATTTCTCTGTGTTGACGTAATTTGACAATGCTCTTTCGGGTCCCTTTGGCTTTGGTCTTGGATGGTATTTCAATTGGAATATGCGGAAAATTATTACGTGTGGGCAACCTTGGTAGTGGTTTGTCGATTGCCTGCGGAAACGGATAAACCTGTCAAAGTCGATGGGTGAACAATTGGCGGCGAGGTGGCTATTCCCATTTCACCTTCGAAGTAAGATGTTGTACGAGCTCTTGACCAAGTTGCCCAAGACGCAGGCCATTGGCGTCTCGATTGCCGGCTGCTTCGCCTGCTCGTACGCCGTCTTTGGCTCGCTCCGCTACTCGGGTACCCACACGCCATGGCGAACGCTCATGGCTCATGCGATCTGTAGGTGAGGACTTCGGCGGCGCTGCCCCTGGCGAGCCCAAGACGACGTCGGCGGAATGGAAGGAGGCCACGAAGGCCTACGCCGCCCACCAGAAGATGGAACCCATCACGCACTTCCGTCAATAAATACGTGGCTAATATGGCCTCGTTTGCATCGACGAACGACCTCAACTTAATTGCAATATATAGATTGTTTGGACGCGTGCGTCAACAACGTCGATCCAGACTGTGGGAGCTAGCTACTCGTGGACGCGTAGCTCCCAGTGCAGGATGCTCTTTGTATGCAGCGGTATGCAATCGCGACGCAAGGAGCCATGTCAGCAAGATGCATGAAGTCGAACTGGCACGATTAGATAGAATTAAAGGGCGTAGTGAGGTTGTTGCTCGCAGACTCGAGGCTGTCTGGGTCGTGTGCCTTATAGAAGCGGCGCCGGCTACGTGCATAGACAGACATGAGTCGTGCGTTCGGGCCATGCAACCAATGGTGTTACCTGTTGCTGCGCCTCGAGCTTCTCGGCTTCTCTGCGCTCCCACTCCGCAATGGCTTCCTGGATGCGTCGGGCCTCCATCATTGCTTCTTCGGCGACGAGGTCGGCGTCGTCGGCGACGTCCAACTGGCCATAGTAGTCGGGCTCGATGCCGAGGTACATGTCTTTTCTATGGAGGAAATCAGTCGTCTCGTTGCATGGGAATACCACATACCGACTCCGCTTCTGCTTGGGCGGTTCTTTCTTCTCAAAGAGCTCGCGAACGCCCGGTAGATTCTTTGCCGCGCCAAAGTACTTGTAGCCCTTCCCGCTCTGCAGCGTCACGCCGTCGGCCTCGTACCCGTCTTCAAACTTGCCCGACGCGTAGCGTGATCCGCCAAGCTCGACGATGCGCTTCTCCCACATGTGCTTCTCGCCGATGCGCTTGTTGATGAGGTCGTTGAGGTCGCGGATCACGTGCTCGCCAAGCGAGGCTAGCCCATGGCGTGAGTCGTTGTCACCTAGCGATGTATCCGATGCCCACCATTCTGGATCTCCGACACCTTGCGCGAGATGATGCGGATCACTTGGCGGCGGTAGCGCTCGGCGTCGGCGAGCGATGTGCACTCTTTCGTGTCAAACGGGCGGCGCCTACGACAGCCCATGAGTCGCAGTCTCCTTCGCTGCCGGCGACGCACCCATGAACGACCTTGGACATGTCCGTCTTCATGGACGTCCATCGGTTGAGCATCGCATTCGCCTTCTCTTCGTTACGGGCCATGGCTGCCTTCCTCTGTCGCTCCCTCGCCGCCGCTGGTGTTTTGTGGTGGCCTTCAGCTAGGCGCCGGGATCTCGTTTCGGCACACACGCCCTAAAACGAGGCGCCCATGCCCATCCGGATACGAAACCAGGACTAAAATCCCAACCAATCATTTGGGTCGGCGCTCGTTTCGCTCATTTCCGAATTCAACAGGCGCCTCGTAGACGACAATGGAGGACGTGGAGAGATGATGACACCTATTCTAGCTACCTGATATCGGCGCTTGCGCCTTGATGGAGGAGCAAGTTCTACATGAGATTGCTGATCTCCACGCCCCGTAGCCATAGCGTACAATAATCCTAATTTGAAACCAAGCGACTAAGTGCATTTTCGAACGAATTACGCGACGAGGGCCTCGAGCATCTTCTGGAAGACGCCGTTGAACGCCATTTGCTCGCCCTTGACGCACATCTTGGCGACGGTCGAGCCGTCGAACGTCACTTCGAGGAGCGCGAGCACGTTGGTCATTGTCTTGAACGAAAAGTACCCAATCTCCTTGCCGTCGACCGCCCGCTTGGCGACGTAAAAGATGTTGCGCGCCTTGAGCAACGCCGCGAGACCGTCGACGGATGCCGACGCCGGGCCGAGCTGGAGCGTAAAGTACGTCTCGTTGGCCTCCGGGATGCTCTTCCAGAGGTTGATAAACTCGCCCTTCTCGACGAGACCGGCTTCCGTGCAAATCGCGCTCACGTCGAGCTCGGTCGTAAAGTAAATGACGTCGTTGGAGCCCATGTTCTTGAGCGCGGCTTGGACCGCCGTGTTGGGCGCGACGGTCGCGTTCACAAACTGGGGGCTCACCGTCATCGGGATCGAGCACGTCGTCGACGCGCCGGGCGCGAGCGGCGACGGGAACGTCACTTGCGGCTGCGTCGGCACGACACCAAACGTGCTCTTGTTCAGCTGGATCGCGAGGCTCGGGATCGCCACCGCGCTTTGGTTCTCGACTTCCATGTCGAGGTGGAACGCGCCGGCCCGACGGCTGTAGCACCCACGGAGCACGAGGCCCTTGCCCGACTGCGCGTTCGTCAACGGCAGCATCTTCTTTGTTGGCGCCGCCGCCGACGGCGTCGGGCTGCCAAAGATGTCGAGCGGCGCGGCAGGCGGCGCGGCCGCCGGGGCATGGCCGCCACCGACCGAGAGCCCGCCCATGTCGAGGAGGTCAACAGGGCCGCCCGCCGACGCGCCACCGTCCGACGTTTCAGCGCCGTCGTCGTAGCGCTCGTCGCCTTCCGTGTCGCGCTCCTCTTCGTTTTGCTTTTGGATGTCGGCAATGTTGGTGCGCACGACAAACGTGTTGGGGAGCTTGTGGTACACACTCGCGAGCGTCGAGATCTTGCCGATGAGCTCGTCCAAGATGGACGGCTCGAGCGTAAACGTGTCGTCGCTGATCACGGGCTTCTCCGAGAGCACGACAGCCTTGGCGGCCTCGGGGTTGGCCGAGAGGAGGCGCCAGTACACGTACCCACGGTCGCGCAAATCCGGGTTGTCGCTCTCTTCCGTCGCCTTCTTGAGGACGGCCTGGACCATGGCCTGCGTCTCGTTCGGGCGCTTCAAGAAGAGCTTGACCGTCGACGTGAGCAGCTGGAGCTGGACTTGCGCCGTCTCGTCCTCGAACGAGTCCAGGAACGACTGCAGGAGCTCGTCCGCGTTGTCGATGCGCTCGGCGTACTCGCCAATGATCCAAATCATCGACGCCTTGGCCTCGGGCTCGTCGAGCGTGTCGAGGTTCTCGCACAAGGTCGCAATGATGCTCTCGTACTGGTTCGGGTACTTGCGGAAGATGTCCTTGATGACGACGATCGCTTCTTGCACAATGTAGTTGACCTTGGTCTGAATGAGTTCGAGGAGCACTTGAATGCACTTTTCAGCCGCGTTGTTGAGCTTGATGGCGCACCGCCCAATCGCGCGCACGCTCCGACGCACAAAGTCCACGTCGACCTCGGTCGCATACTCCTTGAACTCGAGAAGGACCTGCTCGATGTTGCGGTCCGAGACGAGGCGGATGATGATCTCGAGCTTCTCCATCTAGACCAAAGTGACATAGGAATGTTGCAGCCTTCATCATATGAAGCAAATACCTTGACGTAAATCGGGTCGTTGTACTTGCAGAAGAAGACCTTGATCTCGTTCGACAAGATCGTCGGCCGCTTCTGCACGATGAGGTTGATGTTGCGCAGCGCGACGTATTGGATCTCGGGCTCGGTCGAGAGCAGCGTCACAAGCGGCGGCGCCATCTTGCGCGAGAGCGCACGCTCCGTGTCTGCGTTCGACACTTTTTCCAAGAACCTACTTGCAATGTGAGACACACGCCAAGGACAGAGGAAAGAATACGTACTTCATGATGACCTTGACGGCCGAGAGCACGACGGCCGAGTTGGCGTGCTGGAGACGCGGCGTGACGCGCTCGATGATGCCTTCGGCTTCACGCGAGTCCGTCGGCACGTAGTTGGCCAACGCGTCCAAGACGAACACCTGGCCCCATTCGTTGCACTCGTTGAGCGCCGCGAGGAGCTTCTGGAGCACCGACTTGGTGATCTACACATCGCTATATGAGGATACACCATGTACATGGACAGTGCGAACCTTGAACTGGTGGGCGCCGCCGTTCTCCGAGATTTCAGACAAGGCCGCGACAGCGTTTGCGACGACCTACATGCACTGCATGAGCTTCTGGAGCAAAGAAGCGATGCGCACCGTCGGGTTCGAGTCGGAGATGAGCTCGCGCAGCATGTCCAAAAAGCCCTGTTCGTCAACAAGCTCGGGGTTGATGTCGTAGAGCTTGGCGACGCAGATCGCGGCAGTCTTGCGCACGTACGGGTCCTACGAACCACATGCATCGATCAATGCTGCCTCGGCCATGCGCGTACCTCGTCCGTCAAGCACTTGCGCAGCGGCTCGCATAAATATTCCGTGATGCGGTCGACGCGGATGCAGCCCATGGTCCGGACCGAGAGCGCGCGCAGGAGCGGGTTCGGGTCGTTGGCATCCTACGCTCGCCGCTGCTGCAGCTTCTCGTACTAAATCCCAACAAGCACGTACTTTGACAAAGGTGTTGACGGCGAGGATCGTCAAGTCCGGGTTGCTCTTGGCGTAGTTGATCAGGTAGAGGTACACGAGCTTCTTCAACTGCGTGTCGGCCGTCTGGATGCAGTTGACGACGTCCGTGAAGAGCATCGAGACGTCCTTCCCGACGGTCATGTTGGCGATGACCTTCTTCACCGCGTCCTTCTTCTTGTCGCGGCTCTGGTCCGCGAGCTCCGTGCGCAGCTCGTGGGTCTCGCCTACGTCCACGTGGCTCGACCTCGCCTTCGCGGCCATGCTCATGCGTACCCTTCTTGCTCGTCGTAAAGAACTTGGAGTCGTTGCCTTCCCCGCGGATCTTCTTGGCCAGCTCCGCCATGCCCGCCGGCATGTTGGTGTTGGCAGCGATGTTCTTCATCGTGGCGGCGAACGACATGCTGCGTCGTCCGTCTCTCTTTGCAAAAGTCAATCTGCCCCATACAAACGCAAGCACTAAACAGCCGTGTAACGGACCGCCGTTGATTGGATAAAATTCCACCGACGTCGTATTACGATTGGCCAAAAAGGACGCGATCTTTGCGTCGTTTCAAAATGGGCTTCGAGATTCCTCCTGCTTCTCACGACACAGCGGACCTTGATGACAGAGAGGTGGCCTCCTTGGCAAGGAGGCCAAGCGATGCAGCATGCTGCAAGGTTCATGACCAGCAAGCAGCGATGCGGTCCACTGGAACACACGGATGCCATTGAATGATACGACAGTGGCTAAGGGTCAAGTGGGCGGCGACGAGGCGGCAAAGGCAGCGCCGAGGTCGCGACATGTGGCAGTGAGCGACGCCAGCGCTTGTTGGCGAAACACAAAGCGGGCGGCGAGGTCGGCGAGGGCTTGGTTCTCGAACAAGCTCTTCTCCATGCATTCGTAGTGGCACTCCTATGGCACAGTGCGTCCCATCGCTGGCGAAAGCACGTGTACCTTGCAGACGATCTTGCTCTCTCGGTTGCCGCGGACGACGCAGCGGCGACAGAACGTATGGCCACAGCCCACGAGCGTCATGGGCTGCTCCAGCACCTGCATGCAGAGGAGGCATGTGAACGTACTCTACGCCACTGCATGTCAAGAGCGCAAGGCAGGGCAACAAGTATACCTCGGACGACGCCTCGGCCTCGACGATCTTTTGTACCGTCGCGCGCAGCTCATCGTGGGCGCGGCGAAGGAGGGTCGCGGCCGCGGGGTCGGTTGTCCTCGCCTGCAAGTCGTCAAAGGCGACGCGCAGGGCGGTGTAGTCGGCGCGCGCCTTGGCCAAGTCGGCGACAGCCGCGTCTTTGGCACGCAGGGAGTCGGTTTGCTTGGTCAGCAGCGCCTGCATCTGCGCTTGCAACACTGCGATCTGGTTGTTTTCGCCGGATTTGAGGCGCAGCACAAGCGCAGCGTTCTCCTGCTGGAGCTCGCGGACGCGCGTCGCGAGCTGCGCCTTCTCTTCCGAGAGGATCGAGAGCGCTTCGTCTTTTCCATTGCGCGCCATCTGAAGCGCCGCCACGGTCGCGTTTGCTGACGCGGGTGCGTCATGCAGGCGGTGCAAAAGACTCGACTCGTCTCGCGGCGCTTGGTGCGCTTCGAGGTGCGCGACTTGCTTGACGAGCGCTTCGATCTGCGCGGTCATGCCTGCCATCGACGCCTTGTACTGGTCGACGAGCGCCTGCTTCTTGGCCGACACGTTGCGCTCAAGGAGCAGGTCCGTCTCGAGCTTGCCGACCGCGTTCGCTAGCTCGAGGCACTTGGCGTTCAGTGCGTTCCGCTCTTGGCGACTATCGGACGACCGCTCGTGCGCGAGCTCGTCGCTGAGCCCTGCTTTTGCCTACAAGCGTGCATGGAAACGAGGTGCATTTTGCCATGTAAATCTACCCGCGCGAGTTCCAAGTTCGTCTCCATGAGAGTCTCCACTTGGGCTTCCAAGATCGCATGGACGCTCTCGAGGTGCAGGAGCTTGGCGTGCGTCGCTGCGTGGGCGTCCGAGATGGCGGCCACCGTCGCCGTTAGCTCTGCAATCCTTTCAATGTGCACGGCCTTCTCGCTCGCAAGCGCGGCAATCTCGTCGTGGAGGCCTTGGCGCCCTTTCCGGTCGCGTAATGCCTTGGCATTGACGTCGTCGTGGGCGCGGACGACCTCGAGCCGCAGCTGGTCGTTCTCTTGTGCCAATTTCTAGCCATTCCACGCTCAAATCGACTCTGCACATCAGGACGGGTACTTTGGATATTGCCTCAAACTGCGTGAGCGTTTGGCTGTGCTCTCGGAGCTCTTGCGCTTGGGCTCGCAGCGCAAGAACCTCGTTCGCCGCCCGCTCGAGATCCGAGCGGGTGCTGTCGAGCGTCAATGATGCGTGTTGCCGGCCCGCCTCGGCCTTCTGTAGCTGCTTGATGAGCTGGCGGTTCGTCTCGACAAGGCTCTGGTGCTGGTTCTCGAGGGCGCGCAGCTATACGATCATATTGGCCAACTTGCGTCGGAGATGTGTCACGCTATTCTATTACCTTGGCGTCAAGTTCGATCGACGCGTCAAAGGATTTGAGGTGCGACATGCGCGGGGTGCTGGGCGTCGCTATGCTCGTGCGAACTCTATCTCGATTGCTCTCGCGCGAGGCTGCGCGCTGGTTTTCTTGGGCGTGAATCGTTCGGAGCTCGCCTAGACTGCTGCTCGAGTCCCCTTCTCTGCACAACGCTGCGCACCTTTGAGTGCCTCAATATCGACTTTGGCCTTCTCCAGCTCTTGTCGGGCTTGAATGGCATCGTTGCGCTCCTCTACAGCAAGCATGAGCGTTGATGCGGCCGTAAGGATATGGCGACTGGTGTTGATGGACGTGAGCGCCGCGAGGTTGCGATGCACGCCGAGCACGACATCACGCGGCATGTCGCTGCGGCCTTTGGCGTTCTGCCGACGCATGGCGAGGAACTTGGTCTTGGGGAGATTGCCTGCCTCGTCTTGCTGTTTGCGCGGAAAGGCTACTTCCTCCGGCCGCTTGGAGAAAGGCTGGAGCAAGGCCTAGGACGCCATGAGCAAGAAGCGAGCCGCTACCTCGGTACCTCGGCCGTTGACCGCAGTTTGGCGCTGGGCACGACGCTCGTGAAGGCCCCGTCGTCGCGCTCGGGTGTCTCACCCCGGCTGTCCCGGCGCCCAAGCGGCCGTGTTGGGACGAACGACATCGGCAGTTTCAATCTAACAGCGCGTCCAGCGTGTTATGTGTTATAACACGCGTGTCAAGTCAGTTCTGATTGGCTCTGGCCAATCAAAAGCTCACCCATTGGTCCAAGGCGCGTTAGAAGGTCAGCGTGCGACAGACCGCATCTAGGTACCAATCTTGATTTAGTGTGAAAAGAACGCCACAAAGCACGCTTCGAACAGAAGGAGTACATGTTCATACCTCCACGACAAGCACACAAGCCAGGTACACTAGTGCATCTTTGTATGGGTACCGCTCCCCAAGCCTACCTCAGGCCGTCCACCGTCTCGCGCGCCGTTTTTCAATCCCATTAACACTATTCTAGAGAGATTGCGTCATCGACCTCAGCATCGCACTTAACAGGACGTCTGCGTTTCTGTCGAATCTCGCTGCAAAACGTGCAAATCGGAATCTTCACCATGAGCCGCTTCCGTGCGGTGGGCAAGGCCGTGGTCGATCGACGCCTCTTCTCGCACAAGGCGCTCAAGCTGCCCGAGTACCCCGTGGACACGACGTACCTCGTTGCGCACTACACGGCGCCGGCGCTCGCAGCGGGCTTTAGCGACAGGTGCCGCTGCCAGCCATACGCTTCCGTCACTGACCACGCGACGCTACTAGGGAACAAACGCTGCGCCGTTGTGCCAAGCTGCTCGAAGAAGGCAAAATCGATGAGCTGGCGCTTCTGCTGCAGCCATTCCGTGGCGCTGGTATAATCTATGATCTGATATGGCGCTTATATTTTTGATTGCATAGCCCTGGTGAAGGACAAGCCGCCTACGACAGATCTGCTGGACGCTTTCTCGGGACGGCACTTGGACCGCATCCGCAAGCGCTTGAACCGACTTCCGCGGCAAATCGCCAAGGCGTCAGCAAAGCGCGCGGCGGTTGTGATTCCGCTCTGTACGATGGCGAGTGATGGCAGTCCGCACGTCATTTTCACGCTGCGGTCGTCCCAGATGCGCTTCCATCGCGGCGAAGTGTGCTTTCCAGGGGGCATGGTCGAAAACATTGACAACTGCATCGAAGACACGTGCTTGCGCGAGATGGAGGAAGAAGTCGGCGTCCGCGCCTCGCAGGTTCATTGCACCATTGATATGTGCGCTCATCCAGCGTAATAGGTCAACGTGCTCGGTGTTTTGCGCTGCGATTGGTCGAACGTTGCATCGATTACAGGCGTGGCCGTGACGCCCGTGGTCGGCCACATTGCCGACTTCAACGCCGACCTGCTGCGCATCAACGCGAGCGAGGTCGAGAGCCTCTTCACGGTGCCTCTCTCACTGCTCGTCGAAGACAAGTACTGGATCCGACCCAAAAACGCAACGCCCGTCTTCACGGCAGGCCCACACGTCATTTGGGGCCTCACGGCGTACATCCTCGACATTTGCGTCCGCGACGTGCTCCTTATCGACCAGCCGCTCAAGGAAATTAGCACGCCCGAGCCCGAGTCGCATTTTGTCTAACCTCGCTATATACCCCTGCAGTAACTCTTGGCACTGATGTATTGTACAGAGCGCAGATCTTAGTCGCTGTCACAAGTTTCATTATACTGGCATTCGAGTAGAATTGCGATCTTTCGTCTTCGGAAGAGTTCAGACCTGCCGGATATGAGCGACGTATCTGGAAGGATCGGCGAATCCAATTCCTCACTCCGCGAGTTGCAGCTGGTTCGTGCCATGGCGGCTTCGCTGTACGTTCCACCGTTCGAGCGCAACCAGCGCGAGGCGATGACGACGACGCGCATGCATGAGAGTCTTGCAGAGCGCTGCGACTTGAGCCTCGCGTCGGCGCGCTACCGCTACCGCCTGCCGCGGGCAACATCCAAGGGGCACACGTCGCGCGTGCCGGGGCTCATCTCGCTCCTCTTCCAGCGCGAGCGACGCGGCCATTTGAGCACGCCAGAGCGCCTCGCAACCAACGAGTCGTTTTTGCCGTTTGGCATCAACAGCCAGTTCCACGAAGTCGACCAGCTAGTCGAGCGGCTCTACTGTGGCGAGTTTAGCGCCGATGGGCGGCAATTTCTCATTGCGGGCCAGAGCGAAGAGATCTCCGTGTACGACAGTGCGACGTGGAAGCGAGTGCTATCGCTGCCGGCGCGGAACCTGCGCTGGACGGTCACGGACGCCCATTTCACACCCAACGCCGACAGCATCGTGTACTCGTCGATCACGAGCTCGGTGCGGTTGGTGTCGCCAACGAGCGAGACAACGTTCCGCCTGAGCCCATCGCGGCAGTCGACGCCGTCGACGCGCTACCTGCGGGACTTTGGCGTCTGGTGTCTCGGGCTCAATTCGTCGGGCACCGAGCTCCTCGCCGGCACGTCGAGCAACAGCGTCGTGCTGCATGACATGACGACCAACAAGACCGTGTGTCATCTCATGGGCCACACGAACGACGTGAACGCGATTACATTTGTCGACGACTACTCGAACGTCTTTCTCAGCGGGTCGGACGACCAGCTCATCAAGCTCTGGGACCGGCGCATGATGTCCGAGTCGAATGCGACGCCCCAAGGCGTCTTCCCAGGTAGAGATATGCATTGAACCAAGCGGCTCATGCCATCCCTAGGCCACACGGACGGCGTTACGCACTTGAGCTCGCGCAACGACGGCTACTACTTCATCTCGAACGCCAAGGACCAGAGCTGCAAGCTCTGGGATTTGCGCAAGTGTCTCTCGAACGACAAGGTGCAGGTCGTGCCGCGCCGGTACGAGTGGGACTACCGCTTCGAGATGTACCCGGGGTACGAAGACGACGAGGCTGAGACGCCGCACCCGCAAGACCAGTCGATCATGACGTACCGCGGGCACATGGTGCAGCAGACGCTCATCCGGTGCTACTTCTCTCCCTTGCACTCGACCGCCCAGCGCTTCATCTACTCGGGCTCGGCCGACGGCGACGTGTACATTTACGATGTGCTCACGGGCGCGATCGTCGAGCAGCTCGAGCGCAATCAGTCGCCGCGTGACCGCCGCCGCGGCCCACCGGGCGTCACGCGCGACGTGCGATGGTAGGACGACCGAGAAGTGCTTGTGACGCACTCTAACGTTCTCTTGCTGCGTAGGCACCCCCACTTGCCGATGCTCGTGTCGCCCGACTTTGACGGCAAGCTCTGCGTGTGGCAGAAGGACCCGCCTGCCCACTAAGACATGCGCCCCATGCATATCGGCTGCAGAGATCGGTGAATGTCAAACGCAATACGAGTATGGCCAACGCTATAGAAGGTCCATGTTATCATCATCGGACTCGTCCGATAAGAACCATTCGCTGTGGGAGAGATTGCCGGCGGGGCGTGGTCGCCCTGGCGCAGGTACGATGATGGGCGACGCAGGGTCGTCGCTCTCCATGTCGACGTCCGTCATAAAGTCACTGTCTTCGATCTCGCTTTCTTCAGGAATCGTGAATGGCGGAAACATGTAGCTCCGCATCGGGTTGAGATTGGGCTTGGGGTTGTAGAGCACGAGAGCACCGAGGGCGGGGTCCCGCGGCGGCGCGGCCCGTCGCTGCCTACAACATGTCCGATGAGTAGGTAGACGCGTGGCGCAGCATAGTGCTTACAGGTAGGACGTGTAGAGGTCGAGATGGACGCGTTGCGGGTGGAGGAACTGGCGTGGGCCTGTGGCCGCAACGTACGCAGCGGGGCTCGGCGGCCTCGCCTTGGCGTCGGCCTTGGTCGTGCCCGCGGGCGAGGACGGCGACGCTGCCGACGAGATGCACATGTTCTCGAGGAACTCGACGAGGCTCTTCTTGTGGGCGGGCATCTGCAGGTAGACCTCTTCGTCGTCGGCTTCGCGCCGGCGGCGGACTCCGCGACGCAGCATGGACGCCTCGGCTGTTTGGAGACTGGCCCGATGATGATGCGATTCAAACACATGCTTGCACGGATGTGTTTAAAACACCCCACGTGGAACTCTCTGGAAGCACGCGATCTTTACTCGACGACCTTGCGCGCCCGTTTGCGCACAGGTCGTCGGCGTGCATCCATGCTATTTTGGCTCGGTCCTATGGAAAAAAGACTTATGACGAAGCCAATCTCCAAGCGCATGCTCATATTGTAGTTGTATTGCTCGAGCTCAAGCCGTCGACGTCATACATGTACATATACGTGGCACACTCACGGATGTATGCTCAAGAAGAAAGTGAACAATGTATCACAGGCAGGTCATACCGAGCACAAGAGATGACCTATGGAGTCGAACAGTCGGGAGGAAGCGACGGTCGCTCGGATTGAGAGTGCGCACTGGCGGTGGACCCAAAACGTCTGCAGGAGTTACCGTTGTCGTGCCCACGATTCTGGCCTCCATGCAAATGCAGTCGCAAGCAATTCGCTGTCACTTGGGTTCACAACCTTCTTCGATCACGGTACTATCTGCAGGACAAGGGATGTAAATCCCTTACTGCAGGATCTCGGTTGGGTGACCTATCAACCTCGGGCCTGCCATCTCCAGCTACCACATTGCATTGCATTTTCCGTTAACTTAACGTTACCGTATAAATACACTACAGCTAAACGAGCGACAACTATGGTCAGGATGGAGACGACGGCGCAGAGAGAGGCCGCTGCTGCGTCAACCGTGCCCTCGGGACTCGCTCGCGACGAGTTGTTGGTAGCGAGGCGCGTCGCAACGACGTAAACACGAACTTTCTAGAATTGCTTCCGGATAATTCGCGAGCTTGCTTCTGGAAGCTGCGCCGCCACCTTGGGCGTTGTATGGTCGCGTATCCGGATGATTGGGCTCGCCGATTGCGCTTCAGTTGCCAAGTTTCTCTCGACACGAACCGATTCCAAGACGACGATGATGTTGTTCCCGCCCCAGTCGCGCCCCATGGCCCTCAACCGAGGCCTGCGCCGTGGCCGCGACGACGACAGCTACAGCGCGCCCTGCCACCACAAGCGCATGAAGCTGGCAGAGAGCCTCCAGTACACGCAGGTGCAAGCGCCCGAGCCCGTATGGTTTGACCACGTGAGCTCCCCCGAGAACGACGACGTGGACATGGACGTGGATATGGACGCCGAGTCGGACCAGCTGCAGCTCGTGCCGTACGAAGCGCAGGCATCGTACCCGACGCTCGAGCTGACGTCGCCCGCCAAAGCTTTTCAGACCACTTGCACCCAACAACCGTTTCCACTGCACGACGAGCAACCGCCGGCCGACACGTCGACCGCGATTGTGCTCTACCGCCCGCCCCGCCACAACGCCGAGTGGAAGACCGAGCCCGAGTCGGACGCGAGCGAGAGCGAGAGCGAGGACGTGGCCGACTTCTCGTACGATATGATGGACATTGACGACATATAGATAGGAGGGTGTTTCTGTTTAGTAGTATTTATAATGCCAACCTACGCGTGCTCATCAAGGCTTGGACTTGGGATTCGCGCGCGCCTTCTTCTTGGCGCCCATGGAGAACGAAGGCGCACCGTGCGATGCCGCCTCGGGCGCGGCCCACGGGTCCAACGACCGCTTCTTGCTCGGGCCCGGCTTTTGCGGCGGCCCCTTCTTCTGGAAGGGCTTCTTTTGTCCTTTCTTGGACTGTGACTGGTTTGGCTGTGCTTGCTTGGCTTTGGGCTGCTGAGTTTGCTTAGCCTTGGGTTGCTGAGATTGCTTAGCTTTGGGCTGCTGAGATTGCTTGGCCTTGGGTGGCTGCTCGTGCTTGGCCTTGGTCGGTTGTGCAGCCTTGGACGGATGTGATGGCTCTGTCTTCTTTGGCTCCACTTCGGGCTGCATCGCGTCTTTTGTCGACGTGAGTGCAGGACTTGGGACGACAGGGGTCTCGGACGCCTCGACCTGGACCGTGGCCTCGGCCGTGCCGTCGTTGTCATGGTCCGATGCATCAGCCCCTCCTTCCTCCAGCTTCTTGGCTTCCCGCTTAGCCGCTTTCTTGGCGTCGCGCTCCTGTGCCAGCTTCTGCCGCTCCTGTTTCCGCTTGAGCTTTGCGGCGTCGCGTCGCGCAATGAAGCGCTTGGAGCGATCCGTCGTTCTTGCTTCCGCGATCCACGCCGCATCAGCGCCCCAGTCTTGCACGAAGAGCTTGTCCATCATCGCATCGTTCTACGCAACCATCGACCCGAATGAGCGACAAGTCGTTTGCTTCTCGCGCGTACCAGCACTTGCAGGTCGACAAAGCCCTGGAACGTAGCGTCGCCTGTCCGGGGCTGGCGGCCCAGTACATCAAACATGGAGTCCTTGACCATCTACACCAAGGGCATGAGCGTCTTGCAATGGCACTGTTTGTGTGCGTACCTCGCCGGCTGCGTTCTCGTCAATGGGCTCGGAGGCGTACCGGGCGATGAGCGCGTCGAGGCCGGACGCGCTGCCTTCGAGGAGCACGAGGTGCAGGCTGCCGCGCGTGAGGAGGCGGCCATGGACGCTAAGCTCCTTGCACCACGTCTTGAGCGACGCCACGTACTTGGCTCGGGCCTTGACTTGGTCCAGGCGCAGCGCGAGCACCTCCAGTCCTTCCGCGGCCATCGAGTTGCTTTCTGTGGCAACGAGTGGTCTCGATCAAGATCCGGCGCTTTCATTGGTTAAAATGCAGCCAATCCGATTCGAGCTTCGATATCTTGGCTCGACGTCGACACAATTTGGTCAATTAAACATAGGACACTACGATATTGTTTAACTTAATGCGACAGCTTGGAGGAGACCGAGCACTTGGCGCATGTCGGGGCGGAGGCCGGGGTCGTGCTGGATGCAGAGCGCGACGATGTCTCGGATCGGTGGAGGGCACGACGCCGATGGCCGGTGGCGGAGGCGGCCCGTGACGAGCATCCCAATGAAGTCGCTGCGCGGGTACGTCTCGCTCTCTTCCAAGAACGGGATCTCGTGCGTGTCGAGCTCGACGAGGAGGACGCCAAACGAGTAGACGTCGACGCGCTCGGCGTAGTCACCGTCCATGAGCATCTCGGGCGCGGACCACTGCACGTCGCCGACGCCCGACGTCATGGTTTGATCGTAGCTGCGGTCGCGGCAGCAGCCAAAGCCACTCAGCACGGCTTCGCGGCGCCGCCCGAGGATCACCGACGCCGCCTTGATGTTGCGATGGATCATGATCGGCTTTTGTGCGTGCATGTACACGAGCGCCTCGGCCACCTCGGTCGCGATGCGCAGCTTGTCGTGCCACGTCAGCCCGGGCTTGGGGCGGTTCAGAAGCGCGCGCAAGTCGGGCGGGTTGCCCGCGAGGTTCTCCGTGACGCAGCAAAGACCCGCGGTGGGCGAGATGTAAAAGCCCATGAAGCGGAGCACTTTGGGGCAGTCGACCTTGCTCAGCGAGATGATCTCCTTGACGAGCGCATCCTTTTCATCCGGAAACTTGAGGCTCTTGACCATCGCGAGCGTGCCGCCGTAGTGCGCAAGCTCCGTCTTCATGTAGTCACTCTGGAGCGACCGGATGATCTTGACCATGGACGGGTAAATGTACAAGTGGCGGTACACCTGGAGCTCTTCGTACCCCGCCCAGTCGATCTCGTCCATCGATGTTGTGACGGGGCGCGCCCTGTTACTCGCTATGTCGTTCACGGGGGCGTCGGCCGGCACCGGGAACGTGCCGCGGAAGCTGCCGGGCGGACCGTTCGGATCCATATATACGAGGCGGCCGTCGCCGTCCGGGTTTGGAATCGCGTACAGTGGCGGCCGCACGGTGGACCGCTCGTCGGTCGAGCTCTCGCCTGAAGCTTGGCGCGCCCAGCCACTGCTGTGATTGCTGTGATTGCTACCAGAGCTCATTTGGGATGGCAGACTTCGTGGTGGCAGTCGCGGGATCGTCGCCGATGCGTACGGTGGCGGGGCTGCATGCTGCGGTGGTGTATGGTACTGCTGTGTCTTGGCCGGCAACGACTCGGCCTCGTGCGCAAGCTCGGGCGGCACCGAGTGGCGATCCTGCCGAATAAACGCGGGGGCCGAGGCGGTGTGGCGCTCGGGCGTCTGGCGGTCTGACGAGGACCGCACTGCGTTGTTGGACTGCAGCTGGAATCGTGTTTGCGGCGGCGTCGAGCCCACAGCGTGTGCTTCGTACGTCGACGACTTGTAGTCGCGGCTCTTGTACAGCCGCGGAAACTCAAAGTGGCCGTTCACGGGCGGCTCGGGCGGCGTGAGGGAGCTAGCGCGCAACTCGAGGCGGAGGCGCACCTCGCCGCCGGGCGACGGATGCTTGGTCCGGTGCTCGAGTTTGAACCAGTGCTCGGCGCCCAGCGACGCCGCGATGGCCTCTTGCAATGGCGCACGGTAGATGCCAATATGGGCCTTGCGCAGGATCGAGTGGTTCTTGATCTCGATTTGGAACGGCTCGTTCACATCGACGCTCGGGATGTGGAACGTCGCATCGAAGCGCGGCTCGACGCCGCCTTTGGCGTGCACCTTGGTCTTAACCTTGGTGCCCGAGACCTTGATCGTGCAGTACGGATCCTGCGTGCCAAAGACCTGCGTGTTGCGGAGGCCTCTCGCCTCCTTCACGCAGACAAGGAGGTCCATTTGCCGCCACGCGCAATCTGTTCTGCGACGGGGAAAGCCAGTCGGCTGCAAACGAGGGCCCCCCTCCTCCTGACACATGCGCGAATCATTTTTCCCATCCCCCCTCGTGGAGCTTTTCTATTCTAAAACCACGCAACCTTCCGGCCCAAAACAGAGCAAGGCCACACACGACACCTACGGCTGTACCAGCGCGTTGCGATACGATAGGACTGTGCCATGGTCGATCTCGTGTCCACATCAAAGCTGTTTGCACTTGGCGTTTGCCGTTGTCGACAGTTGTAGAGGCATACCATCGTGGCCAAAATGGCGTGCGATTAGCTTATCAACTCGTACGAAACCGGTCCTGTCGAAACGCACAAGAGAGCTCACCTCGTGAAACCGCGCCGGGTATTCGGGTATTCCATGGGAAAGGCTGCGAGCGAAAGGGTGACTCCGAAGCGCACCACGCTCACGCGGGTCATCAACATGGACCGGGACGACGACGCGGCGCCGTCGCGGCTTCCGCGCCTTGTTCACATGGTGTCGGCGCCAAAAGCCAAGCGCATTTCGTTCAACATTTGGAAGCAAGCCGAAGTGCTGCCCGCGACAAACCGCGTCTCGCTGCGCGTGACGGCCGAAGAGCGCAAGAAGCTCGTGCAAGGCGTGACAGCACCGCCGCCCCGCTTCATGATCTACCCTGGTTCCAAAATTCCACTGCGTCAAGACTCCTGGCTCATCGGACGTTGTAGACTCCACACTGCGGCTTTCTTGGGACTCGTTGATTGCGATTGCGACGGTCGCCCTTGCGTGGCGGCTGCCGTACAGCCTTGTCTTTGAAGCCAACATGGACACGCCGTCCTGGACGCACATTTTCGACATTGTCATTGACGTAGTGTACATCGGCGATGTCGTCATGAACTTTCGGTGCGCCTTATGGATAAGCGCACGCATAGTATGACTTTACGCCTAGCACGGGCTTTCGCCACGACATTGAGATTGTGCTCGACCCGAAAAAGGTCGCGCTCCACTACGTGACGGTACGTTGCGTGTCGACGCTGTGTCTTCATTGACTGGCACTTCTAGACATGGTTTTTCATCGACTTTGCCGGCGCCATCCCCTACGAATTAATGTTTGACGCGGGCAAGGGCGTCGAGCGCGTCGCGGTCAAGACGTCGCTCAAGTACCTCAAGATTCCGGTTCCTAAAGCTCGATATCAGCGCATTGGCTCACGCTGGCGTAGAAACTCTTTCGTTTGGCGCGCGTCATCCGCTTTGTCCGGTACGACGACTACCATGACACATGTCCTCATGCTGCTGTGTGTAGGAAACACCTCGAATTCATGTACACCTTTCAGCTGCTCCTGCTGTACGTCTCGTGCGTGCACTGGATCGCGTGTGTGTGGGCCTCGATGGCAATGGACACGGACAACAGCATGATCGACTTGGAGCCATTTACACGATACGGCATCTACCTCTATACGTCTACGAGCCTCCTGCTCAACATGTCCCCGTACGACAAGTTCTCGATCCATGCATCCAAATATGGCTGTCGACTAGGGTCACAACGATTGCCCCCGAGCACTACCTTTACGCCGCGATGCTTTCGTTCGCGGGGTTTTGCATGATGGCACTCATTTTTGCAAGCGTGACGGCCATTTACATTCGGCACACGTCCCGCGCGTCCGAGTACCAAGCCAAAATCAAGACCGTCATGTCCGACCTCAAGGCGCTGCAAGTGCCACGCGTACGTCTCATGACATTGCTCCGTGGTTGCCAGCGCGCGTAGGAGCTGCGCACGGCAGCTAAGAACTACTACGACATGCTCTGGCGCGTCAAGAAGACGTCGGATCGCTACGAGCGATCGATTTACGAAGTACGAATTCCTGGTATATGTGGCGGTGACGTGTGCGCTCTAGGACGAAGACTTGTCGCCTTTGATTCGCGCTGAGATTGCTCTCCACATCCACCGACGCACGATCGCGCTCGTGCCGCTCTTCAAAGGCTGCACCGACGACTGCCTCGCGTCCGTTGTCACGCGGCTCAAGACGCACTTGTACAACGAGAAGGACGTGATTTTTCACCGCGGCGAGCCCGGGCGGAGCATGCTCATCATTATCCGCGGCAAGGTCAAGATCATCGGCCCGGACAACTCGGTCGTCGCCGTGCTCAAAGAAGGCAGCTTTTTTGGCGAAATCGGTGCGCTCACCGGCACTCGCTATGCGGACACTAGACGCTAACATGGCGTAGGCCTCCTTGCCAATACGTCGCGGTCCGCGACCGCGGTGGCCGCGACGTTTTGCGAAATGAAGAGCCTCGACCAAGTGGACGCCGAGGTCATTTTCGCTTTGTACCCCAACATTCTAGACCGCTTGTACCGCGAGTCGGACAAACGCAAGCGCGAGAATAAGAACCGGTCGAGCTTCTCCAACATAAAAGTGCTCGACAATGCGCACGTTGTCGACAAGGATGCGATCGACGAGATGACGTTCGAGCAACGAGGCGCGCCGCGGAGCCGCGTCTTTGAGCGCAGCAGCAGCGCCAATGAAGTCCTCAAGGGCGAGCGCTCGAGCCTCATGTTGGCAGTGAACGGCGTGCGGAGCTTGAAGAACCTCCAAAACGACAGCACGGACGACGAGCGCGCGGCATCCCCTCCACCAATCTCTGCAGGTACAGCTCGAAAGGTGGTTGTACATGACACCGATATTGGTCATATAGGCTCGGGCCACGCTGTCGTCAAGGAGACCTTGTCGAGCCTCACAAGTTTGCACTTGGATGTCGAGCGCCTCAAGGTTGACATTCATTCCTTGCACGCGGATACAACAACGCTGCTTCTAGGATACGCTGCAAATCATTCTTAAGAACCAAACGCAGCTCATGACGAAGCTCAACACAATGGAGACCAAAGGCTCTGTACACAAGCGCAAGGATGGCACCGTCGTCAAGTCCAAGGCCGCGACGGATCGCTCGTTCAAGCTGCGTCGGCAGCGGAGCCGTGATACGGAGGAGCTCGTCTCGATGTACGAAGACATTATGAGCCCAGAAAAGCCGGTGGCACGGATACCGCCGCCTCTGTCACGACAAGGGACCGGAAGCATCAAGGATTCGACTCGAAGCGGACGAGACACGAGTGAAGACGGCAAGGTGTCTGAGTACAAGAGCTCCGATGCTTCGTAAAACGCCTCTGGCAATAGAGATGCATGGTTCTAGTACCTACTATAAGCTGAAAAGCTTACTCGGACATTTGCACAGACACAATCAAGTGGTTCCGGCACGGCATACGTGGCACGCCACGAGCGACACTTTGCACTTCGCATCAAACCCATCGGATCAGGTCCAACGACGTTTGCGCAATGGCGTTAAACGTTGCGTTTAATGCGTTTTACATGTCCTTTCCGAAGTTCGAAGTGCCACGCCGGCCTTGGAGTGGGATCCATCCATTTCCCCATTGCTTGTGAGATGGCATGCGCTATGCAAAGGTGTCACTCGGGTGACGTCGCCCCTTTTTATACTGGTGACGCCACGCCTCCATGCAGCCGAGTAGCGCTATGCACGAGGTTGCATAAGCATGCTTCAAGGATCCCAGGCACCGTCCTACTCGGCTGCGATTCCGAAGAATCGACGTCCGACGCAGCCGATCCTGCGCCGTGACGAACGAACGAAGGGGCACGTCGTAGAGGCCACACTGGGCACCGTCGGCCAACAAACTTGGGTGCTTCCGTGCGTCATCTCGTCATCGCCGTCCATTTTTCTGTACCATGTACCCTGCGCCATGCAAACGTACGCTCGTCATTTTGGTCTTTGTAGCGGAATGTACGTCACGTACATTGTACGTACAAGATACGAAGAGGCGACTGTGTAACGCTGGGTGAAATGACCTTTGAAAGTCGATGTGGCGCTCCGCGACCGCATCTTGTTTGGCTGGCGAGCACCGGCAGCTAGTTGCACGCAGATTAGGACGTCCAGCGGCCATTACAGCGCGGCCGCGCACTATTGCGCATCGCATGTGGATGTCAAGGTACCAGGTAAATCACCGTGTACATTCGATGGGGAAGCAGCGCGGCTTCGACCGAAGGGTGATCCGATCGCGTCGCAGATGTGGGACAAAGGTGGCGTGATTCCAGCCCATTGGCGGCCTCAAGGGGTAGGGCCATGTGACTCGTCTTTTGTAAGTGAGATCTTGCGGCCGATGTGTTGAACCTGCGAGACTTGATACGGGTCGGGTTTCGCGGAAGGTTTTCATCATCATTTCGCATTTCCATCTCCCATGCTCTTCCTCGCGATGCTCGTCGTCGTCAGCTCCGAGGGCCTCCGCGGGCTGCTCCAAGATGGCATGGCGTACCTGGCCACGTACCCGTCGCTCTTCCTGCTCTTCCTCCTCTTCGGCTTTGCCGTCGCGGTCGCGAGCTCCATCTTGCACTACCGGTTCCACGACGCTAACAAGGTCGCGGCCGTGCCCATGGCGTGCTACGACTGCGAGCAGCAGTCCAAGACCAAGAAGACGACCAAGGCCGACGTCGCGTCCAAGCGCACGATGGCGGAGAATGTTGGTATCCTTGCCATGGAGGTCTACTTCCCGGCCAACTACATCGACCAAGCCGACCTCGAGCAATACGATGGCGTGAGCGCTGGCAAGTACACCAAGGGCCTCGCCCAAGACAAGATGTGCTTTACGGGCGACCGCGAAGATGTCAACTCGATCGCGCTCACGGCGGTCAAGAACCTCCTCGAAAAGTACGACATCCACCCGTCGCAGATTGGCCGCCTCGAAGTCGGTACCGAGACGATGGTCGATTTGTGCAAATCGACCAAGACGGTGCTCATGGACCTCTTCCACGAGCATGGCAACTACGATCTGGAAGGTGTGACGTCTGTGAACGCGTGCTACGGTGGTACGGCGGCCCTCTTCAACTCGGTCGCGTGGGTCGAAAGCCGTGCGTGGGATGGCCGCTACGCGCTCGTTGTGTGCGGTGACATTGCGGTTTACGCCAAGGGCCCCGCGCGCCCGACGTGCGGTTGCGGCGCTGTCGCTATGCTCATCGGCCCCAACGCGCCGCTCGTCATGGAGAGCGAGCTGCGCACGACGTTCTCGGAGAACATGTGGGACTTTTACAAGCCGGACCCGCACTCCGAGTACCCGACCGTCGACGGCAAGTTCTCGCAGTCGTGCTACCTCAAGACGCTCGACGACTGCTACCGCCGCTTCTGCGTCAAGAACGAGCTCGCCGGTGTCACCAAGAACGGCAAGAACTTTGACGTGGCCGCCAACGACTTTGTCATCTTCCACTCGCCGTACAACAAGCTTGCGCAGAAGGGCTTTTCGCGCATCATCTTCAACGACTTTCTCCGCAACCCGTCCCTGCCGCAGTACGAACTCCTCAAAAAGTGGCACGGCGCCAAGCTCGAAGACACGTACTACGACCGCGACTTGGACGCGGCCGCGCGCAAGGTGTCGCTCGACCTCTGGAATCGCATGGTCGAGCCGTCCTGCGGCGCGTCGCGTGCGATTGGCAACTGCTACACGGCCTCCGTGTACATCAACCTCGCGTGTCTCGTCGACACGGCCCGCGCGTCGCTCCACGGCAAGCGCATCATGCTCTTCTCGTACGGCTCGGGTGCGGTCGGCTCGATCTTCTCGCTCCGCGTGCCCCGCCCGGCGGACCGGTTGCCGACCGAGGCTGGCGCTGTGCCGTTCACGCTCGAGCGCATGTCGGACTCGCTCAACCTCGTACGCCGCCTTGACGCGCGCATGAAGCGGACGCCCGAAGAGTTCAACGCGCACTTGGACTTGCGCGAGGCGTCGCACGGCCTCAAGTCGTACACGCCGCTGCAGTCGACCGATGCGCTCTTCCCCGGCACGTACTACCTCGTCAAGGTCGACGACAAGCACCGCCGCACGTATGCGCGCAAGGCGCTCAACCAGCCGCTCGCGTATGCTGCGCTGCCGCCGCTCGCGGTCGCGCCGCCGTCGCCCAAGCCCGTGGTCGCGGCCCCCAAACCGATGCGCGTCGTTGTCTCGGGCGTCGGCGCCGGTGCGCCGGGCGCGGCGGGTCCGTTCCGCGCCGACACGTTCGAGAAGCTTCTTGCTGGCGACAACCACATTGACGTGCTCGGTGACGATGCCAAGGACGCGATGCTGGCACGCCGCGTCGTGCAGATCTCCAAGAAGGACGGCGTGACGACGCGCGCGCCAGTGAGCTCCGCCGACGAGTGCATCAAGCTTGCGGCCGTGCTTCGCCCCGTGGACCTCGTCGCCCAGTACGGCATCCCCAAGAGCCTTGTCGAAGGCATGGACACAGCGTCGATCGCCGCCGTCGCCGCCGGCCTCGACGCGCTCAAGCAGTCGGGTCTCGTGGCTGGTACCGTCGAGAACGGCTGGGGCAACTGGCGTCTTCCGGACGCGATGGCCGACTCGACCGGTGTCTTGTACGCGACGTCGTTCCCGGCGCTCGATGCGGCCGTAAAGGAGGTCGCGCGCTTCCACACGACGCCGACCGACGACTATGAGTTTGACCGCAAGCTCCTCTTCCGCCTCCTTGTGCTCGCCAACGCGCAGATTGCGCAGATCGTCGGTGCCAAGGGCCCGAACGCCCAGGTGAACGCGACGTGCGCCGGTACGACGGTGGCCATCTCGATGGCGCAGGACTGGATCAAGTCGGGCAAGTGCCAGCGCGTCATCGTTGTCGCCGGCGACATTGCGAGCAGCGAGAGCCTCCTGCCGTGGATCGGCAGCGGCTTCCGCGCGCTCGGTGCCGCGACTCTGGCCTCGACGGTCGCGGACGGCGCTGTGCCGTTCGACAAGCGCCGCAACGGCATGCTTCTCGGTGGCGGCGCCGTCGGCCTCGTGCTCGAAGCCGAGTCGGCGACGATCGCCCGCGGCCTCTCGACGCCGTCGACGGTGCACTTGGTCGCGAGCCAAGCGAGCAACTCGGCCTTCCACGGCGCGTCGATCGACAAGGAGCACCTCGCGCACGAACTCAACCGGTTCCTCTCGACGATCGAGGCCGAGCACGGCATCTCGCGCGCTATGATCGCTGCGCACGGCGTCTACTACAGCCACGAGACGGGCACGCACGCGTCGCCGTCCAAGTCGTGCGCGTACTCGGAGATCTCGGCGCTGCGCTCGGCGTTTGGCGACGCCGGTCTGGCGACGCTCGTGATTGCGAATACAAAGGGCTTCACGGGCCACCCGATGGGCGTCTCGTTCGAGGACGTGGTGGCCGTCGAGGGCCTCAAGCGCGGCCGCATCCCGCCGGTTGTCAACTTCAAGATCCACGACGACAACTTGAGCGCGACGCCGCTCCGCCTTAGCAACGGCGGCGCGTACCCGGACGTCAAGTACGCGCTGCGTTTCGCGGCGGGCTTTGGCTCGCAAGTCGCCTTTACGCTCTACGCGCGCACAGACAAGACGATGTAAACACCCACCCAATGCGATTCCGTGTACATATATACGTCATGCTTCCTGGGAGACGAAGGGTAGCGCAATGAGAGACGCGTGGTGATGATGCTGTAGCGGACTTGACCGGCTTGATAATCCTACCTCAGCGACCCAACTTTCTGTCGGGTTGTTCGAGATGCATACGGTTTCCATCGTCGCTTAGTACGTCTGCTCGCTATACGTTGTCCATTTGGTGGAGCATCTGCGTCACGTGGCCGATCGGGTTGGCGCTGTACGGGTGGAAGTGGCCGTCGTCGTGCTTCTTGGCTTTCTTGGCCTTCTTCTCCTTCTTGTGCTTTTTTTCCTTCTTGTGCTTCTTCTTCTCGCCGCCGATCGGCGACGAGGGTACCGACGCCTTGCCGTCTTGCGCGGCCTGAGGAATCGTAAACCACGAGGTGCTGAAGAAGTGCTCGAAGAGCGCCTTGGCGGCCATCGGGCTGCTTGCGTCCTTGGTCCAAAGCGCCTTGGCCGACTCGTCGTGCGTGGCCTCGATGGCCTCGATGAGCCGGCCGCCGACCGCGTTGTACTGATGCATGTGGACGGGGTTGGCGCTAAAGTCGTGCGTCTTCTTCTCGCCAATCCACGCGTTGACCTTCTTGACGAGGAGCTCCTCGAGCTCGACGGCGCGGAGCAGCTGCGGCTTAGGCGCGAGGCTACTGCCGCTGCGGTTCGTGTTGCTGTTGGTCGAGAGCACGTGCTCCTCTTGCTTGACCAAAGCCGCGTGCAGGCCCTTGACCATCGCGTTACCCGGCCCTTCCCAGCGCTCGACCAGCGTCATGCTCGGTCGTGCGGTGTGGTGAAATTCCAAATTGCGCTAAAAACACCCAATTTCGACTTTGACCTTTCCTTGATTGTGTCGCAAGCCACCATGACCAAGCGGGACCAGCTCGATTGCGGAGGGTGTCGAGATAGCTGCAAAAGCGCTTGCCAGCGTTTGCCGAGCACTCGACACAGTATGCGGGGCAGGCGTAAGCTCGCAGAGCAGCGACAAGAGGCCGATGACAAACGCGAAACGAGCGCAATAAGAGCCATCGGCGGAGCTGAAGAGTTATCTTTTGACCAGCTACAGCAGTACATTTCGGCTTATGAAGCGTGATGGGCATTGTGTTGGGATCACCGAACCTGCGGAGTTGGAGTTGGCGCGACTGGGAGCCTACAAAGTTCATAACGACTCCGGTCTTCCAAGCTTGGTGACGTACGTGAAACGCAGGGGATATGCCATTTGCACAAGCGCTGCAGCGGCGTCTTGCTCGTCGATGGCCACCTGCGCTTGTGGAGAGGGAGCAGCGTCGGCTACCGGTTTCTCTGGCGCTTGCGGATCTGCGGCGTTCTGGTCGTTGATTGTCACCGGTGCTTGCGGTGCTACGCTGGCGGCGTTATCTTGGTTGGTATCAACCACGGGCGCTTGAGGACCTGCGGCAGCTGTGTCTTGGTCGCCGACTGCCACCGGCGCGTGTTGAGCTTGGACAGCGATGGTGTCGTGATCATCGACCGGCGCTTGTGGTACTGGAGCAGCAGCGCCATGGTCCGGTGGCGGAAAGACCAATGGCCCAAACGTTCGGTAGCAAACGGCGCACGAGAAGACGTTGGGCAGGAGTCGTCGGCGCTTGCCCTTGCACGTTCGCCGCCCGCAGTCGACGCAGTTGGCCGCCATGCGTCGTTTGCAGTCCTTACTGCGTGCTTTTTGCTCACAAAGGAGATATATTTCTAAAAACACCGCTCCTTCTGGATGGCAGCGGACCCAGATTTTGGGCAAGTCTACACGGGAATGGTTCGTCGATGTACGCGTCGCCACACGTGCCCTTGGGCCAAGCACATGCGAGGACGATGTGATTCGCGTGGCAGGCTGCAATGCAATCATTTACGGCCTCATCGTGCGCTTGCCGACGGCTCGGCGCTTGAAATGCGCTGCCACTCAATAATCTTCGATTCCGAAGTTCGAAGAGAAAAGGTCTATAGTGTGTCTGTGTTGAAACATTCACTCTTGTTCACATACAAATACCTAATGTAGAAAGTTTTGTCCGGGCCGTCCAGGCGGATCTCGCTCACCAGCGAGCACCAAATCGCGTTTAGAAATGAAGTCGCCCATCTTCGGCAGGGCGATAGAAGACTACTTGGAGAGCAGAGCAAGCCCACTCTCCTTCCTTACGGAGGTCTGTATCGCATGCAAGAGGTAGAAATATATATATTCGTTATTTAATATGTTAAAA